GATCTGTACGGCTACGCTGTCCTCCTTACCTCTTTGACCTATATTTAGTTATTGTTGGTGTAGACTACTATATGTGTCATATGGAAGTCCCCGACATCCCGGAAAGTGTTTCAGGCGGCCGAAGGCTCTGCCCGATTTTTCGGCAATAGTCCTACGTTTTAGTGAAACAGTTGTAGTTTTGTCGGTTCTCAGTGTTATTTAACACTAATAGTCTGACCTTAAAATACAATTTACTAGGTGATCCAATGGTTGCTGTCTTCGTGACAATAGCACTAGTTTGGTTGATTGTTGTAATTATCGGCTGTTTGAGTGAATGTGTGTGTGAATGCATAGCAGTGGATTTCTCGAGTACATATGTGCTTTCGCTAACCTAGTTGGGAAATGCATAGTTACTATTCGATACTGACTGACTAGGCAGGCCAGTGGTCCCAAGAGGGTTCCGGTCTCCCGATCGCGTGATTGTGTGTTAATAGCCGATAACGGACACTGAGTTTAAGACCGTTAACATACGCTCCTCAATAGTGATCCGAGAGTATAGTTAAGGTTTGCCTTAACTTTATGAGTCTATAGTCACCTTCGGGATTGACTGACCCGGTATAAATAAATATTTGGACACCTAATAGTTTATTGTTGTTACATATGCACTGTTCTTACAATATCACGGCCAAAAACCTATAGGTGATGTCAATTGACCCCAGAGACGACATAGTTATGTCTGACCAAATTTAACTGAATACCGTATGTGAGATAATAGAAATGTTACGATAATTATGTAATACTGTCGGCAATCTGTCGGTCATGTATTGTCTTTATCGTACTTGAGTGTATGATGTGTTTGTATAGATTTATGTTAATTTATGTGATTGGTGACTCTCCGGCGATGCATTCGTTGGCCGATGCGGCGGCGGTTGTGTACGCGACACCGCTTGCTGTAGTTAATGAGCGCCTTATCATTGACGCCACCACACATACAATTTTGTCTAATATAGTCCTTGTCTATGTATGTTAGTTGAGTGTAATTTTGTTGTCTATTGTTATGATATACAGTACAGATTAGTAGTCCAGTGATAGTCACCGTAACACAGGTTTCGGGTGATATCACATTTCACCGACGAGTGTCGGGTAGGGTTTAACTAGTGTTTAAACGCCTTTATTTAGTGCCGGGTAGGCACGGCTGGAGAGACATAGATGGGTTAGATTCCCCCAGAGATTGCTTGTGACGATCCCCTGGTTATGTCATCAGAGTCAGAGGATTCTGATTTATAGTTTGGCCACAGGGTTGGTCAACGGGTATAGCATTACTTATCCTATAGTGGGTATTTGAATAGACTATACGCCTGTTTTACCGACGGTAGTACCGAGTGATGGTACTGACCATTAGACTCAGTCTTACTAGTAGATTGGGTATTGAGTTGCATGTTTTGGTTAGAGGGAGGCTTTGAGGCTTCTCTCGTTGGCAATTATTGGTAGGGCCCGACCAGTTAGTCAATCGTTATGTTTTAGTTACCAGTTTCTAATTGCGACAAGACATTTGTTGTCATTGAGTAATGTCGGTTTTTGTTTGTTTTAGCGCAAGTGTTGCGGCTAGCCAGCCATTGTATGGATGCTGATAACACTGTATCGTCCTGTCTTCAGTATACTATAGTTGTGTCACGTGTAGTGAGTGACCAAACTAGTAAAATAGTTTTTACTGGTCTCAGAGCTTCTGACCAGACCCGAGTGGTACAGACTTCGAGTCTTAACTCTCAAAACAATGAGTCTGTCTTAACATTGAATAGTGTTTCGTTTGATAGTAAAGGTCAAATTGAATTAAATAATCTCAGGACCAGAGATAATACCTTTTATATAATTGGTCCGCAAAGTAGTAATGTCTTAATTTACGATCAATCAGACATAGATTGTATTAATAATTGTGTAGTAAAAGCTAATATTGTGCCCAATGTACAATTAAGACAACCTAAACCACTACAGGAGTACTGTGCCAATAGTGGCGGCCATTCCAGTGGTTTACGTGAAATCATTGCATGGAAAGTGAAGCGAGTAACTCACCCCAAAAATTCTCATGAAACCTCTAAATAATCAACACTTTCCAGATATAAATGGCAATGCTATTAAAATAATATTGAAACGGTATAGAAATAGGATATATTATAGTTATAACAGTAATGATAAAATCTACTCATTACAATATTTAATTGTTTATTTTAAATTGCAAAATATTAATAAAATAATTGTTCCTTCATTTGTTTAAATATACAGTATATTAATATAATGGCAATAAAATTTCATGGGATATCAGTTTGACAACAATGAAAATTCAAGTGTAAAACATATAACATTATATTTTCTATACATTATTACTTGTTATTTAATAGTATGAAATGTGTGGAAAAAACCAAATGTTTGTGTTATTATAAAAAATATTCTTTTATTTGTCATAATCTTATATTATCAGCAATTATTTATTGATTAAAATACATTAAAAATAATAAAAATATTGAACACAACTATAGTACTGAATATAATTACTAAGTTGAAGATATCTTATAAAAATAACAAAAAATTGCATTTTTAGCAAAATATTAATAGTTATATTATAAAATAATAAATAAAATAGAAAAAATAAAAAACAATGCACTAGGTCATTATATAATTTGTAAGTTAATGTAAGTTTTAGTAGTTACCACACTATCATATAATAAATATTATAAAGTAAAAAGTAAAAACTAAATACTTACATTAACTATATTTTTAATTAATTATTCATTATTTTTTAGTAATTTATAGTATTTATAATAATTAATATTTCCTATATATAAACTGATTAGACAGTATTTATATCTTGTATTTATATTAAATAGATTATTTTATTTAAATGATAAATTTATTGCTATTGCGGTAATTTTATTTTATATATTTAACTTAAAGTATATAAGATAGTGCTAAAAATGATATAAGTACAGTACCACATATATATTAAACTATAAAAACATAATAAGCTAATAATTAATAAATATTATTATAATTAGTTTTATTAGTAATTATAATAAATGTGAAAAAGTGATACCTTTTTAGTCATAAGTGTGTGATATCTAAGTGGATGAATGATACAAATATATCTATCGATAGCAATACATAGTAAAGAAAGTGTTGATTCGTGAAAGAGTGCGGCAATGAGTAGGGCTTCAATTGCACACACCGTTGGACTCCACGGCCAACACTGTTTGACAATTGATATCAAACTGATTGGTGTGACCAGTATTCCGACGGCTAAGTCGGTCAATGATAGCGATGTCATCAAAATTTTTGGTAAATCTCTTAAATATCGGGAATAGTTTTTACTGTGAAGTACGACAATCATTAAAGTATTCAACACTATTACAGCTATTGTTATCAACAATACAATCGTTGCTTTAATACATTCCTCAACAGTCAATGATTGTATGACATGTAGAGAACTGTTAGTTGTGTCAGATATTTGCCAACAGGCCTTTCCTCTGAATGGCAACTCATTCATGACTTATGTCAAACAATTGAAGCAAAATATCCTCCTTTTCTCTCTTTCTGTTGTTTCTATCAACAGATTCACTATTTCACTGCAAAAATAGTTATTCAGTCGATTAGATATAACATAAAACAGTGAATGTAATGCAATGCAAGTGCGCTAATGCCTACACTTCAGGTCATTAATAGTATAACTATTTAAACATATATTTTATTGATCCCACACTTTAGCCACTTTTTTTTATCATACATGTGATACCTATTAGTAATCCTAATTTTTAAATAATTATTATCACTCTTGTAAATGCAATATTCAAACAATTTAATTAATTATTTGAATAAAAATAAATTATAGCTTTGAAGCTATTATTTACTTAAAACATATCATTAGCAGTATAATGATGAATTACTTTAATTTAATAATACATTTTAAGTATCATTTATTGAAATTAATTATTTTAATTAAGTACTCATGCATCAATAATTTTATAATAAAATATTAAAAAATATATTAAACTAAATTTAACAAAAGTTAGTTAATTAACATTTATAATTAAATAAAAATATATAAATGTTAGATAAAGATAAAGAAATAAATAACAAAAATCATAATTATATTGTTTGACTAGTCGTTGAGCTTTAATTAGACAAATAATAAGCAGTTAGTGATTATAATCTGTTTGTTATAATTAGCACAAAGAAGTCGATGGCGTTACTATTAATCTCGTTTTTCCTGCCGGAGTACCTAAATGTTTATAAGAGATAATTTTAATTAATAATTAAATAATAAATTTATCACAAAATCATACCTCTTGTTGTCAAAAGAATAGGTTCTGTTGTGTGATATGAGACTAAATCGGCCACTGTTTTGAATGTCTGTTATATAATAATCATTTTAATAGATTTTAATAATTTATAAAAACAAATAATTATAATTAATAAACAAACCTTTTCTCTTGATTTTTCTTTGCCTAAAGCATAGAGACTGTCAGGTCTTTTACGGATATTTAAATGAAATACCCGTCCGTTATGAAAGATAGTAAGTGTGTATGGATTGCTTTTGCCGGCTCTCTTGCTTTCCCTAACCAAATACGCCCCGTCCTCCTCCTGTGTCATCAACAAAGCCTCGGCGTCTTCCCTCTCGACCGTCAAAAACCATTCATAGTTATGGAGAGATTCATTGCTAGCAAATGAATGTAATTGAGACGATGGTTGTGATACCACTTGTGATGGAACTGATGGCAGTGGAGGCAGAGGACGACTCGATATACCTAAAAATCATAAAATAAGTTATAATAATGGTATAACTAAATCATTAAAATAAACAAAATAAAAATAGACTAATAAATTTATAATTAGGTATATATTTTAATTTGAAATAATTTTATTTCCACACTTTTATGATGTATTTTAAAGAATATCTCATTTAAAGAGTACATAAATCCATCAAAAGATATGACCAAAAAATCTTATTTTTTAATTAATATTAATAATCAAAAACATAGTATCAATGTATAAATTATATAAAAATTAAATACATTAAGTAGTTAGACATAATAACTAAATATAAATCAATAAAAAATATTTAAAAATATTAAAAATTCAAAATTAAATATAAAAATATCAGTTTTTCTAAACTATTATTATAATAATATAAATTATTTTAAATATACTATTTAACATAAAATTATTATTAAAGTATAATAGTTAATTTATAAAGTTATTTTTCAAAATTACTATAATATATAGCATAGTTATAATAAATATAAACTATTAATAATATATATTTATTAATATATTACAATAAATGTAATAATATTTTGTTTTCTATTTACAGGTAATATATGTTTAGATTAAAAATAAATTTTGTGCTTTATTTAAGTGTTGGTAAAAATAATAATTAAGGCTAGAAAACTATTGTTATAAATTTTATTTTTATCAATTTTACAAATATACATTGTTATACATGTATACACTAGTTTTAAAATAATTATAAAAAAAATTTAACAATAAGATACATTTTTACTAATTATATTCAATATCCATTATTCCATCAAAATATATTTTGCTCTCAATAATATTTAATAGCAAAATAAATATTATATTATAATAAAATATAATAGATGTTAACAAATATTATTTTTATCATATAATAAAACTATTTATATTAAATATAACAAATTGCTTTCACATGATATAAATAATATAAACTTTGTAATATAGTTTTTGTTAAATATTTTAATGTTTAATAATGTTTAAACATATCTTAAACTATTGTCGATAAAAAATAAGCAAATATTATATTTTTAGTAAAATCCTTAAACAAGTGATTATCACATTAGTATACAACTCCTTAATATTACTTTGAAATATGTTTTTTATTTGATAAAAATATAATTTAACTATCAAATAAACTACATTTAAAAAACAAATATAACTAATAATTTTAAAAATATCAATATACATAATTAGTTCTTATAATTTAAAATTTACTATTATATATAAGTTATATTTTAGTATGATATAAAATTGCAACTTTTAAAAATAATACAAAATATATTATTTTAATATTTTTAAAATTTATTCTAAACTAATAAACTAACCATGACAAAACATTAATTTTTACAATATTTAATTTTTAAAAATTTTTTCAATTATACTTTTTTATATGCCATCTATTATATTAGTTATAAGCTGTTAATCGTTTTAAATTACCGATAGTATAATATTATGTATAGTATTTATATGTAGAGTATATTTTGACATTCAATTAATTTTCTTTTACATAATTAAATTTTTATTTAAAAGTAAATATTTTATAATATGAATTAAAACCTCAATTTATGTCCTAAATTTAGTAACACATATCATACGAGACAATGAAGACCAGAGGGCAGATATGCCTCTAAAACAACTTATTTAAAAAAACAAGTATTTTTTCAATTAAATATTTTAGGTTTAACTCATTTTTAATTTATTGGTCAAACATTATAATAAGTGGTGGCATTAAATATTTTTTAAATGCTAATTTTTTTAATCAATAGCTTATTTAGATAAAAAAATATTACACACAATTAAATTTTATAACAGTTATCTAAATAATGAATCTCTTTTAATACTCAAGTTAACATTATAAATTAATAAATCATAAAATAAATTGATAATTTTTTTATAACAATAAAAAACTATGTATCATAATTACGATGTCATTATTATTTTTAAAAAATTGTTTTAAAAAAACTTACTTATAAACTATAAATCAGTGCAAATATAGGTAAAAATTTGTCATACATTTTACACTTCACTAATGAATCATAAATTATATGACTTAAAGAGCTCATGTATTTTAATAGATTTTTAGGCAAATTATACCGTATGTCATAAATAATATTCAATAATTTAAATCAATTTAAAAGTTTATGTCATTTTCAACATTAAAATCTAAAACAATTTTTAAAGCTTTTAAAATCAATTATTGTTATTATTGTTATTGTTATTAAAATTTCAATTCTGATTTATGATTAAGTAATAAAAGTAGTTTTAATATTATAAATAATTTACAAAATTTAAATCTAAATTATAGATAATCACAAAATAAAACAGTATTTTCAAGCTTTCGATTTTTAAATTAATCGAAACTAGTGTTTATCTGTAACCATAATAATATTGTTAACAAATGCTTATCATTGCAATAAATACAGTACTATTACATATAATTCAACTCAAATTTATAATAATTTAATAACCTAATATTTCATATTAAATATAATAATTTTGAATTTTAGTTAAAATAATTTTTTAATTTTATTTGCAATTTAGTGTGTTATAGAAATATTTTCATTAATTTAATGATAAATTTGATAAAATAAGAAAACAATATTAAAGATATAATTTTATAATTACCTAATGAATTGACTGAATTGCTGTTATTATTGTTATCTTCGATATTAATATCATTTTCAAGAGATTTAGACTCTTTCGACCACTTTTTGTCTTTTGTACTTCTATTCAGAAGATTAGGAAAAACGTCGGGAATTCCTAGTTTTGATTTGTTGGTCATAATAGACGATTCCTTTACTTTAGGTAATAGTGGTCTTTGACTAACAGGTAATATCGGATTATTGATAAATTGATTTTCATTAACAATTTCATAGTTTTCATCTTTAATTGTCATTTCATTGTCGTTAATATCATTAGTTTTTATAGTTTCGATGAATGGCTCGTAATTTTCTTCAGTTATAACATTGCTATGACTTTGAGAAGAATGTGATTTATACGAACCAATAGATGAAACATCATCTCTGAGCGATGATATAGTTGATGACGAGCTCTTACGGGAAGTTATATCTAAAGGAATGGGTGATAGATATTCATCTTCAGTCAAAGGCAATACAACTGCTTCATAGTTGTCTGGATATCCATTTGAAGTCGTTATTAAATACTTAGTATCTTTTGTCAACATATATTGCAGATCTGATGGAACATTAATGGGAGACATCGGTGGCGGAGACTTTGGCAGTGGAGGCGGCGGTGGCTCTGATGGCGGCCTTTTTATCGGCATATTTGAAGTCGACTTTAAGTTATTATTTACAGGTTTTCTGGGAATTCTTTTAATTAAATATTTTTAATTAATTATTGTTTTTATTTAAAGACATTAACAAAACAATGACTCACATTTGGGGCTTATTTTTAGGTACTTCTGGTTTAATGGTAGCAGGTTTTGGCAGAAGTCTAGGACTGGGTTTGGGTGACGGCACTGAAGATAATGAGTTTACAGTGCTATTGATTTTTGGTTTATTATCATTAGTGTCATTAATTGTATTAATTGATGGCATAGATTGACTGATTGTATTGCAAATCACAGACTGTCTAATACCAGTGCCATTGGTTTGTTTTGTATTGATATTACAATCAATATTTAAAGCACTGGTAGTCCGAAGTTCATGACAATTAAGTGCAGTAAGGGATCCATTGCTCATATAATCACTAACCGGTTCATAAAGCAAGTCTTCATTCATTTCTTTTACATTATTATCAGAAATACAAGTTTTAGACTTATCGTTGATCTGTTGATCGTTCAAATCGTCATTTTCATCTGAATCGTCATCAAAGTCTGAACCCCAGCCAACATCATCGTCGTCTTCTTCATCTACTTTTTGTCAATCATTTAAAAGCAAATAATTGATTAAACTCTAAAAATAATTCATTAATATAAAGTCAAATACCTGTGCGATTGACTGCTCTGTGTTTGTGATCTTTAATATTTTCAACCAATTTCTTTGCATTATTTGCTTGAGTTTTACATTCATTAATGCATTTGACTATTTGTCTGCAAATATAATATCAAATATAATATCAAATATTAATTAGTCAAAGCATTTCAATTAATTCTTGTTTAAAATCAAATAAATATTTGCTTTGAATGCAAAAATAAATAACTTATTAATAATAAAAAACTTATCATATGGTTCAATGACTTTAAGCGTGTATTTCTTCTAATAAACGTTTTACTATCAATTTATTATATAGTATTACAATCAGTATTTTGTTTAGCAATAACATAATAATCGCTTTTTACTATATATAATGTATATACTGAATATTAAAATTAGTAATAACCAAATTAAGTGTATACATAAAAATCTAAATGAATATTAACTAAACATATATTATGTTAAATTATTAACAAAAACGGATACTATTCATTAACATTGGGAGACTTTATATTATTGTACAGTATATACAATTTTCAAGTATAACAATATTTACAATACATTAATTATATTTACATACAAATAACGGATATATCCATAATTGTTGAAACTTTGTTTTATTATTTATTTATATATTTTATTGTGGTTAAATTATTAATAATTGAAATATTTTTGGTAAAATTAATCAAAATAAATGTTTAAATTAATTACTTTTATTTCATTTAATTTATTTAAGTAAATCTTAACCACAAATAACAGATTTGTTATATTACTTGTTAAGTCATTAACTTTTATGAACTTTATTTTAGTATAAGGCATAGTCCTCGACTAATATTTAAAAAATGTTGAAATAAAGTTTGAAATTTATTGAGAACCAGTTATAACTTATAAGTTATAAGTCGCCCACATAATAGAGTTTTATAATATGATAAAATAACTAAAAATTATAATTTCATTGAAAACATTTTAACTCAACTAAAGTAAAAATACAGTATTTTCAGTATTCATTCAAAACAATTCAAGTGGTTTTTTTGTATAATTCAAATATAACTCTAATATTGTTATTTAGCTTTATATTTAATTTATATTTTTTATTTACTATGAATTATACCTGTATATAATTTATAGTGAAAAATATGTCTTTTATTTAAGAGTTATTATAACTTAATGTTTATAGTTTTAGATAAACAGTATTTATATTTTATGGTTTTATTATGACATACTGTATACTAACATAACAGTATAGTTTAAAAGTCAATTTCATTATAATTGAAATAACTTATAGTATAAATGATAAGACGTTATCAAATAAATTCATATTATTTTGTTATTAAAATCAAATCAACAATATATTTATTTATATTTATTAATATTACAAAATAATATTTTAAAAAACATTGTTTGTATATAAAAAACATGTATTTATAGTATCTTATATATTATGTTAATTAATGCAAAACATTAGCTGATGTCATAAAATATACTTTATGTAAATCATAATTAACTGATTATACCAATTCTTGATTTATGGTATTATACTGTATTAACAAATGTAATAATAGATAATATAAAACTATATAAAATAATATCGTATACAATGCAATGCATATCATTATAATGATAGACAAACTTAACTAAATTGACCTATCTAATTGCATATTTAGTCAATTTCTATTATTAATAAAGCAAATATTATATAATATGAGTATTTAAACTTACAATATATCTTAAGTAAATAATTAAATAAAATGTAATAATGAGAATTCATCTGCCGATAAACTAAACTTAAAACTTATTTATTGTTATAAAATATAAAAAATGTTAACTAATAGGAAGTTTGCAGAAAAAGTAAGCATACCTTCTGAATACTTTAATGGACGGCCAGCCGGCAGTCTTAATGGAGTCGATGTGTTGGTTGAGATTGGAAAGGGATAACTGAGATAATCTCTTTGTATCCATTATTATATATATAGCTAAATATAATAGCTATACATTTATAACTATTTGGTTTCACAACATTTAATTGCTAATATCTATTAAAATTAATGTCAATTCAATAGTATAAAAGTTTATCGTTGTTGACATAAGTTATTCATTATATTAAGTTAAGCAATAGTTCAAACATTTAATTCATGTACAGTATATACTTAATGTTGTTAATGATTGTTATGTTTGATAAAGTTAACAATAATAACATTCATTTAAAAAATTTATTCATTGTTAAGGAAAATGTGGTAACAGTGTTGTTATATAACAAATATAAAGTGTCAAAACTTAATATAAATTATTAATAATAAACACAAACACTGTATGAGTTGAATATTGATTGAATAAAAAAATTACTTTTGTTGTAATACTTTAGAAAACTTTTTGACTGATATATAATGAGAGCAGACTTGAGATGTAAACTAAACTAAACATAAGATAGGAATCCATTGAATAGTTAGTGAATGACTGTTAAAATATGTGATAAGCGGCACATCTGGAGAAACGTTTTCATTACAGCATAACTATTATTATGTGATATTTAATGATAATTATAGCGATGGTTACTTCATACCATCACAAAAACATATCACTTATTGTTATAATTATAAATAATACACCTATGTTTATAAATGTACAGGTATTGACAAAAATTGTGTTTAAATAATATTTGTTAATACAATAAAAACAAAATGAGATTTTGATGGGTGAATGAGGAAATAATTTGTAATTTTTATTCAAAAAACGACTATATTTTCAAAAAATAAATGGGAATACACTTTAACTTAAAAGCTTTAGACTGTTTGGCAAATATTAAAATTTACATGACTTGCACTTCAAGATTAATAAATTGTTGTTAAAACATAAGGAACACATATTGTATATAATATTTATATTATATGTTTTGTATGGTTATGTTAGGCCAGTTGTAGGAGAAACTGACAGACTATAAGGGAACAGACAGAGTTAGACTCACTTAATAGTAAAAGTTTGGCTAAAAGTTATTTTCAAAGCACACAATTCACAACACAATATGTAAGCTATAGTTGATTGAGTGTTCAAACTTTACCCAACTTTACTAAACTTATGGCTAAACTAAACTAAAACGTGGAATAAGTGTTAGGAATGTGTAGTTTGTTTGCAAAATGTACTTACATTGAGTTGCACGGGTAGGGGAAAGCATATGACCCTCTCTTATATGCCTATGTTGTACTGTATATACAGTACTTTATACTCGCCTTACTGGCTAAGAAAAAGTGGTTTTCAATGATGTGTTTTCAATTCAACTAAATTTAAGGTAACTTTACTTTAAAAACTTTTTTAGCTCTCTATCTGACTGTCCGACACTACATTATGCTATAGTCAATACTCTATCAATTGTTGTATAACTTGTACTCGTTTTTTCATTATAACCACATTTGCCGTAATATCGATACAACATCTCTGTCTATATTATAATCATTGCATTGATGTGTAACCTGAATGCCAAACAAATATATAACATTATATTGTAGTTAACTATTATTGGGTTCAGTTAAAAGAAATCACTCGATATGTTATATTAATATATTTTTATAACTCATATCTCAAGTAAATCAAACTTTTTCATAACTTTTGTTATAAAAACATAAATTTATGTAATGATAGGGCCGTCCCATTGAAGTGGGTTCTGGTTATGAAACTTGTGCTCCACTTTTGTTTTACTCTATTGTCTAAATGTTTAATAAATTAAGTGTTTTGTCTGTAATTAACTATACTTTCTTTGCACTGTTAGTATAGTTTGTATTATATAATATGGACTGTATTTATAATTATAATTTATAAACTTGTAAGACATAAATAAATATCCATTTAAATGAGAGCATAGTATTAACAAAAATTTAGCAACAAATTAACGTTAAACTAATAGTTAAACTAAAATAATAATATTATATTTATTGTTGTTACGTCAAAACCTAATATGTTTAAATATTATATTTAGATATAATGTTAATGAATAATTAAATCATAACTGTAAAATCATTAACCGAGTCATTAAACTTGGTATTCATTATTATTACCACATTTTATGTATGATATAAGTTATCATAAAATACTATATTTAAGTTATAGTTCATAAATACGTCGTTTCATTAAAAGTATATTTCATTAAATACAGTCAAATAAATTATATCCAAATGTATACCTGTATTATACTGTATACTACAGAATGTATATACAGTATGTAATATTGTATTTATAATGTATATAAATATTTGTAAATTATTAAAATTGTTCACACATATACAGTATTACACACATACGTAATACGTATACTGTATATAAATGTATATTTAATTTCGTATATAATTATAAGATTAAGTTTATGATGTCGTATCAGTTGGTAATACTTATAATTCATTTATCTGTAGATTTGAAACTAATTCCGTAAATACAATATATGTATTAATACTGTATTAATTCAAACAAATTGAATGCAATTAAAATATTTTATCAATACTTTTATGCAAATATTTCCTAAATTAAAAAATATTTTATCTAAATTTATGTGAATTACCTTTATTTCATAATTTGTCTTACATTTATATAACATAAAGTATAAAACATTACATTAATATTTATATAACATTAATGTTTTGTATAATTAAGTATAAATAAAGCATAATTTATAGCAACATATTATTTTGCAATTGTACTGCTTTATAATATATTAAATAATAATTTAAAAATAAATTCAAAGTTTTATAATTCATTAAGAATTACAAATAAAAAATCAAATTAAATATAAATTATAGAGTAATTTCCAAAATGTGAAAATTAAAAGTCAATTGTTTGTTATAATGACATCATAATATCTAATGTAGTTTTTAGTTTCAAACTAAACCAAGTATTCAGTGTACTATTGTTTGTAATATAAATCATAAAAAACCAATAAAGTCTAAATTATATAAATTTTAAAGTAAAAACTTTTATTGGAAATAATTATTCAAAGTATAGTGTAATGTCATTTAAATAATATATTTTTAAAGTACTAATTAATATCTTAAATAAATTAATAGACCAATTGGTAGGCCTACCGGTGCTTACCTTCTTCTAATAATTTTGAGTTCACTGAATGTAATGACCAAATCATCGCTCAAATCCTGAAATAGGAAATGAGATTCAATGAGTCACTGGTTGTCTACTATGATATATATAATACTGTAAATATTGTATATGTTTGCCTAAAGGCATTCAATTTAAACACATTTGTGTCTAACATATCAATTGATTAGTTTTAAGTTAATATCTAAACAAACCTATTAATTGTGCCGCTATGGCATCAATTAAGACAATAATATTATTGTATATATCAGATAATAATAATAAAAAAATTTATAAAAAATAAATGATTTAAATCCTAAATTGCTATCCTTGAGACTGAATTAATAATTGAATGTAAAAATTTTAAAAAAATAATTGCATTGATGTCTTACCAGAAACTTATCGCCCGTTATTTTTCTAGTTTTGAAGGCTTCAATGCAATCGTGTAAATCCTCCTACATTTCAAATAACATTTTCATATTTATCATTTTAATTAATTAATTTAATTATATTTTTTTATTTCAAGTATTATTAGTTTTATCTAATAACCAATTATCCAATTATATTATAATATATATTAAAATACTTTGTAAAGCCATTGAAGGATGTGATCATTTGACCACTTGATCACAATGTCCTTTGAAGGAAGTTTTGGCATTAGTTCTTAACAACAAAAATAATGCTTTTTATTATTTAAATCTAAATTTTATTGCTATATTTGAATTGAATAAATAACACAATAAAACATAGTTTTCACACAACAATTTGGGTTAATTTAATACAAAAATTTATTGAACAGTAAAACAAATGCTTCATTTGTCATCACATCGGATATGTATTTCCTATGAAATAATAAAATTCTGATTAAACAATACATTACATAAAAGGTGTGTCTATTTTCTGGCAATTTAAATGTTTGTTATAAAATGAATTATTGAATATAAATTACAATATATTATAATTTAATAAAATTATAATTTTTACAATTGAGTATATTATTATTCAAAAAATAATAAGTTATTTTTTCAGTTTTATTATATAATATTACAATATAATAAGTATTATAAAATTTATTTGATACAATTAGATTTAAATTTTTTCTCATAATTGTATACTCAAATAGCATCATAATTGTAATTATAAGTAAATGAGTACATGAAATAATATTTTGCAATAAGTTATTTAATGTAAAGTTAAATAGTGTCATTTTTCTCTCAATAAATATAAATTTGCTAAAATATTATTTCCTTCAAAAAAGCATTTAAATTAATATACAATATTATATAGTATATTGTAATATATATTGAATAAATTAGGAGTAAATCATAAATTTCAAATTACAATTAAAAAGTAGATTACATTATAAAAACTAGTTTTAAGAAAAAAATAAAATGTATTGAAATTTAAAACTTAGTATTTTTAAAAACATTTCTTCATTTTAAAAAACTATGTAATTTTAATGGAAATATAAAAATAATTAATGTATTTAAACTTAAATTATTTCTACAATATAATTGACATTTTTATAAAGTTATTACATGTGATACAAAAAATAATTCTATAATAATTCTAATAATTCTACAAAATATATTTGTTTGAAATTTATATATATTAATTTATAAAATTATTAATAATTAATTAATTATTACTATTAATATATGAATTAAATCAATAAAAAGTAGAGAATCCCCACATTATGTTATAGTTTCAAATAATTAGTGATAAATTCTTAAATTTAAATTAAATGAATTTTGCAAACAAATCTAAAAATTGATATAAACATAAAAACATATAAACATTTAGAACTGTATATTAAATATTGTTTAACATGACTTAAATTAATAATGTTATAATACGGTGTTATTTAAATTGCGTTGATTGCGTAAAAATTTAAGTCATGCACTCATATTTATTATTATTATTTGAAAGTTTAATAAAAACATGTATTATGTAATGTTTTACTTATTATACAACATGTCTAGTATATTATAATCTAAAATGATGTTAATATAGTATTAATATCACATAAGTTTTATTTTAATCAACACACAAGAGTTTATTAAACTTAATAATTAAGTTAATCGCTGTATAAATAAAAATATAGTATTTATGTGTCAACTGTTTCTCAAATGTCTTAATATAAAAATATAATATTTTCTGTAAAATATAAGAATAGAATTTTTTTATTAAGATATTTAACTTATTATAAAAATATTATAACTTTAATAATAAATATGATGTGATGTGACTGATGGCCACAAAAGTAAAGTTCTCACAACTATTGACTTCAAATTCAGTACACATTATTCTGACCCAAATCTCTTTAAAAACTTAAATTTCGTGTGAATTGCTAACAAATAACCAAATATTTAATATTATATAATATAAATGAAAAAATATTTGTATTATTTATAAAAATAATGCAATTTAATTAAAATTAAACGGTTTTGTTTGTAAACTATTTTGTTAATTAAGCAAATATTTAATATTTAATATATTCAACAAAGCATTTATTATAATTTATGTGTTATTTATTAACTCTATTGTTATTTTACACAATTTTCGATTGTATTATTAAATAAATGATTTATTGTTAATGATTTTAATTTAAATAAGAAAAGATATATTAGTAATATAAATTACAATTTTGTTAAAATAACTTATTATATAATTAGTTAATGATATTTTTACAACATTTTAATCACTATAATGTTGTTTACTAATTTTAATAAACATTTGCATTGCATTCATTGTAAACACATTTTTATAGTATTTAAAGCTATTTTGTAGTTAATTGTGATTAAAAACAAACAATTAATAAGTATATAAATAATTAACAATTAAAGATAAATCTATAATAAATAAAGTATAATAATATGCAATAAATACTGTATTAAACTTAATATTACTGTATATTTTAGACAATACACTAATACTGTATAATACAGACCTCTATTATCAATGAATAGCAATAATACAAACAAATGACAAAATATTCAGTGATTTAAAGCATTCAATGTTTACATTAAATAATATTAAATACAATACTCTATATATATCTGTGATTACGTTGACTATAGACTTGAGTTTTGACATCAATTATGGATAATATATCACATTTGATACCACATGAAGACATCGGTGAAGACAAAGAAAACATTGTTATTAATGTTACCAACAATGAACTGCTGAGGAATGCCGTTCACAATGTCTTAGGTTGTGATGACAAGAGACCAAATGACATACCAATGACTGACAGAAAACTTATAAATAATGACTTAAATAATGACACAAATTATCTTCAAATGAATAATAAAGTTATAAAAACTCAGAACAATAGCAAAGATGTACCGTTCAGTCAGTATATGATGACTACATTGTCAACAACTGATTGATGAACTAATGTCTTGTTTTTGTTATCTTAGAATTTGGATATCTATTTGATTACTTAAGAAGTGAATTAAGACGAAACTATGTCCTCGAAAATGACGAACAAAGATATGAAGAAAGAAGAGAGAAGTTCTATATCTTCTTAAGGATTCCCTTGCAATTGGAAAAAGTAATTCTTGAGTCAAAAATCTTTTATCACTTAATACTAACATTTGATTTGATGAACAGTTTCTGTGTTACGGATTCTTTCAATGTGTGGACGCCTTTCTGTTTGTCTTCACTCTACTTCCCATACGGTTTGCACTTTCGCTTTGGTTTCTAATTACAAGATCTTTCAACAAATGGTTTTGGTATGAATTGATTGATAATATGTTTTGTATTATATTATTATATAATGTTTGTTAACTTAGTTTACTGAACGGTCAGTCGTGGCAAATGACGGGTCCATTGAAACCATTGGAAGGATTAGAACCGTCAGAAATCTGTGATCTTATGAAAGGTGTTATTGTATTGAGTGGTGTATTCCTCATGAGTTATATCGACACTTCAATGCTTTACCACATTATTAAAAGCCAATCAGTTATCAAACTCTACATTTTCTTCAATATGTTAGAGGTATTAAATAATTTATTTATTTTATTAATTTAATAATATTATACAAAACCTTGATATTGAAAATTAATTTTAATTAGAAAATGAAATCTTTGTTTAAATTATTTGTGGGTTTTATATATTTGTCTCTCACCCCTAAATGATTTTAATTTGCAAAGCGTACATACAGTTTACATATTTAAACTGATATTTTAAATTCAATGTTATCTAACTCTCAAATTAGTTGCATATCTGATTGAAAAAATTAAGATCTGGTTTCCATATATAGATCATTAAAATAAATTTTATTAGTTATTGTATGTACTCTTTATATGGCTTATAATTATAGTATTTATTATTTTGTTTCAAATGAATTGCTAAATAAATTTTACTTATTAATGAACCAAACTTACACTTAATTAATAGAAAATAAGTGTTTTTTAAATTTAATTTTTAAAAAAAGTCAGAATTTAGTCAAAACTTATATTTTTAGATTATTTTAAGAATAATTTATTATTTAATGATATTGAGGGCATTTTATAATTAAAATATAAGCAAAATTAAAAATTGTTAATAAATAATAAATAAAATTTACTCAGATTTTAGTCATAGAAATTGAATAATGATTTAAATAATTATTTGTTTTGTTGTTATTCAAGTACTATTATTTTTTTAAATGTTTATCTTGAGCCGATCTATCAATTAAATAGTAATATTAATGAAAATGCCTTATAATTGTTTGGCAAAAATGCATTATAATTAAATTTTCAAATTTGCTAAAAGCAATATACATGTATATAGTTATTTAAAATAAATAATCGATAAAAATATAATTATTTGTATTACCAACCAGAAATTGTCTATTAGATTAAAATAAGTTATTTTTAAATACGATTAAAGTTTTAGTGAAAATAAAAAATAATGTTTTGATAGAAAAATAAATATTAGAGTAAATTATACAGGTAGTATTACACTATTATATTTTTTTAAAGTTTAGCTATTATCAATAATACTTTAATTTTAACAGAATTTAATCTGAATTTTTAAAACTAATTTTCGTTAAAAATATTGATTTTCAAATAGTATTATTGATGAAAATGATAGATTTTATTATAAATATTGAAATGATAGTAATATAAGATTAATTGATAGGTTGCCGACAAGTTGTTGTCGTCATTTGGTCAGGACATCTTAGATGCCCTGTTCTGGACAGCCAATGAGCCGAGAGGCAAAAAGAGGGAACATCTCGGAGTCATACCTCATCTCTTTATGGCAATAGCTTACGTTTGTCAGTCCATATATTATATAATAATTATTGACACTAATTATTAATGCATTAATTGATTATTAATTTATTAAGTCATGCATAGTCTACTTGTGCTACTACAGGCCACCACTTTGAATGTAGCCATCAATTCAAAAATAAAGCATTGCTTACAGTCATGATGTCTAATAATGTAATTATTTATTTTAAAGTTACTATAATTCACAATATTTTTTATAATATTATTAATTATTATTTTTATTATATTAATAAAGTTTGTTGAACTTAAAGGAATGGTATTCAAGAAGTTTGAAAAGACAAATCTTTTTCAGATGTCTTGTAGTGATGTTAGGGAACGCTTTCATTATATTATTTTATTAATTGTAGTTATCATACAAACAATGAAAGAATATAATTGGAGTGAAAAACAATTTTGGATTTTATTTCCCGATTGTTTGCTTGTATTTATTGCCGAAATATTTGTCGATTGGTTTAAACACGCATTCGTTACGCGTTTTAATGAAATTTCGTTTGAAGTCTACGAAGAATATGCTATTAGTTTAGCTTATGATTTGGCGTCCAGTAAATTAAAAAGTGTAAGTTTAAGAAATTAATTAATTAATTTATAATAAAGTTATTTAAAAACGAAATTATAGGCATTTTCAGATCATTCGGATCTTATATCTCGAAGAATGGGTTTTATTCCTTTACCTTTGGGAGTGTTAGTCATTAGAATAATGAGCGGATCTTTTCACTTGAACTGTTGGTATGGTTTGGTTTGCCTTTTTGTATCATATCTGTGGTAATATATTATTAAAAATTTTAAACTAACGTAATATTAAATTTAATTATATATCAATAAAAATTTAATAGTTTAGTGAGTTTCAAATTGGTTGTCAATATAGTATTATTAGGACAGGCATGTGATCTCATAGAAGCACATCGAAAGACAATAGACGACAAAGTGGGTGCTCTTTCCCGACAATATACTAGTCTTCCTGCTAGTCGTCATAATAGTTGTGAAGACATTCCCAGTGCTGTCTCTCCTCACGCAAAGAGTACGCCACACACTCCGAGTCCGAGCACTCGGTCCAGTTTGGCGGACATCACACAACAGGCAGCCATAATGCAGGAAACACTCGAGTCTTCGATGATATTCTCAAACAGTACTGTTAGTCTCAATAGTCTTGATATTAATGATGGAACAGCTATCAAGTTTACGGTCACTTCAGGAACTAGTGATCTTAAGTTAAGCCAAAAATCTATTCTCAGACAAAGACATGTCGACAATCAATTCAAAAGAAGAGTTTCTCTACAAGAAATGACATCCGATTCATCTATAATTCCATTTCTTGATTTATCTGTAAACGAAAATAAATTTAAATGAAAAAAAACTTTATATAAAGAGCTTTTTATTTATAATATATATATTAATTATATTTATTACTTATTTTAAATAATATTTAAAAATAATTTATTAAAATAAACTGAGTTCACTATTGTGTGGGCTTCATATCATCGATAATATATTTTATTTTTAGTACATAAATACCATAAAAATATTTATAGACACACAATATATACTGTTTGACTGATATAATGTGAGATATAACACAAAAATGAGAAATTGTTTTATTTGTGCTATTATTCACATTACAACTAATCTTTTGTGAATACCAAATGGTGATAATATAGACATCAATCAAATAATACTTAACGATTAGATGAATAAAGATTGAGAAGTGGATCAGTTTATGCATAACTGATCCGTTTAGATGAGTATATAAACTAAGTTTATCATCAAATGAAGCATTTCTAAGATTATTCTGTTATTTGGTTTGTTATAAATAAAATAAAATTTTGTTAAGAAAACTAATAAAAATGAATTTACAAAAAATTCTTACAATTGTTAGTTTATTTATAGTGTCGTTGGCCATAACATATGCTTGCTTTATAACTAACTGTCCTCCCGGTGGTAAACGATCTCTGGCACCGGAAAGTCCCAAAAGACAAGTAAGTATTGTTTAATTAGATTTATTACAGATATTAATATAAGTGAAAATCTAATGTAAAATACTATAGAAATTAAGGTTTTCTTCTAAAGATTTCAGACATTTTTCAAAATAATTGTGTAAAAAACTTAAAATTATTTAGATTTTTCCAATTTTAGTATTTAAAATATTCATATTTATTGAATATAAACTGTAATTTGCTAATTTACTATATTGTACTTAAATTATGAGGTAATTCACAAATTTATTGTTTTATAACAGCAACAAAAACTAAAAATGATTATTTAATTTAAGCCAAATTATTAATACATACATATGTAACACTTACATATACTATATAGGTATACTATAAATAGACAACTAACTAATTTTTAATAATTTGTATAAAATATAAAAGTTATTATATATATATATATATATATATAATAACTTTTATTTTCGATTTATGTTTCGATTGACAATTTTGCCGATGATTTTTAGCAATTAATTTGTAATAAAAAAAAGTTGTTCTTAAGATTTGCGAGAAAAAATAAAATATAGTTTATTAACACTTGAATTGGATATCAGTGTACTCGTTGTGGACCGTCAGGAGTGGGCCGTTGTTTTGGTCCATCCATATGTTGTGGTGCATCGATTGGGTGTCATATTAATAATAAGTATACTGCCGTTTGCTTTACTGAAGATTATACTCCTCGTCCCTGTTTTAATGAGGGTAAGGTATGTGCTAACGGAAAAGGTATCTGTGCTCTGGACTCGACGTGTTGTACTTCAGGTAAATCATAAGATTATATAAAGAAATTAATAAATATTTAATTATAACATTTTTTATATGAATAGTCGGTTGCTTTATGGATAAGAGCTGTCAAACAAATCAAATTAAAGGGTCGACTGAAGAGAGAATTTGGTCAAACTATGGGGACTAAGATTTATATATAAAACTATTTATTCATTTATAATTAATGTTATAATTGAAATAATAAAAAAACTAATTAATTAATATTTAACCAAATAATAAATCTATTATTTTTAAAAATAAAATCATAATATTTCTATCTTTTTAGTTTATATCGACAAAAAAAATATATTTATGCTATTCTTTAAATATTAAATATTTTTTTTTAATATGATTTAAAATAGCTATATAATGTAGTATTTATAAATCAATATAATGTCATAACTTTATTAAAAATCAATACAATAATATGTGTTAAACCATATATTCTAAAAATTTGTTTTATTAATAGATATGTATCTATCAGTGCTTACCTTAAGATTGTTGTGATGAATGATTTCATTTATGTTGGCATAACAACAAACTTATTAAATGATAATTAATTTATTAGAAAAAAATAAAATATTACAAACATTTTCACACAAATATTTATTGATTTCTTCACATAACTTATACGATATGAACCATAATATATGTGTTTATGGATTATTTATATGAATGTCAGTGTTGTAAGTGTATGTTTAGATCAAATTATATATACGGCTATACTTTACTCAATTACATATAGTAGTCTACAAGTGTTTAATGTATTTCAAGGGCTTTAAGACAACTTTAGAAAACTTATTATAAATTTATTGTAAAATAATTTTGATGAAAATTAATTAAGTGAGAAAGTGGCACATTATGTCCAGGGTACATTATCTATAGATAAGATGAGATCACAATTCAATTTAGTTATTTTTATATTATATTTTCAACAACTTTTCTATTGCTTAAACTCAACGCCACAAACACTAAGATTGGGTTCGTTTTAAGTTTTATATAACTTATTAATCTTATTAACTAAATATTAATGTAATGTAACTCTTATTAATTACATTTTAATAAACTGAATATTATAGGTCTACTATTGGACTATAATAGTGCTACTCTAAAGGCTATTAATAATGAAACCATTAGTGACTTAATTAATGATTTTCGCCAACAACTTGTCCATAACGTAACAATTGAGACACAAATTATTTCAGACTTTACTGACTTTGAAAATGATGTCGAAAACGATCCAACAATTTGTAAGTTATTTTCTTATTATTACAATTAGTATTATTTTTGAAAATTTTAACACAAAATACTAGTTTTTGAGTTTGAGATTAACACAGATAAGACAACAAAATAATTTTGACACTTAATATAATTATTATTTATATATCATAAATTATTACATTATGTATGTATTACTATAATCTTTATTGAATGTCATTAATCTAATAAAAGAAATACAATAACATATGAATAAGTGATATCAATAAGTAGTTATAAATATTCTAATTATATTAATTAATGTATAAATAAATTATTAACCAAATTATCAAAATTATTTAAATAATGTATAACTTCCAGTATTTCTCATAATACAGGCATTAAAATGTTAAATCAATACAAATATTATTTCCTTTTCTTCTGTCATTTTGAACTTTCAGAAATTTTTCAAACATTTTTAACATTTATGTTATGATATTTTCTGAAATTTTAATGTTTTTTTTTTGAAAAGTTATTGTAAATGTAAATAGTAATATAAATATTTAATATGAGCTAAATATTACTAAAATTATGTTAAACTTAATTAATAATCTCAGAAGAAATTTTTTCGTTTATTTATTATATCATATTATTATATCTGATTTCTTCATCTTATATTAGTTTTATTTTATTTATTAACATTTTATTTGTTTAAAAATAATTATTCATATTATTAAAACTATGAATTTCTCTCAAATAAAATAAAACAAAATATTATTTAAAATACTTTTTACGACAAATTTCTAATACCTGTATACATATTAAAAATTAAGGTAAAAACTTAATGGTTATTATAAGTGCTGTGAAATGTTCAAAAACAAAAATACTGTACTCATTATTACGAGACAACTGTCCCGAAACTTTACTTTTATCTATTATTGAGAACAACTGTATGCGTCCCCTACCAGACCAGGGCATTGGATTTCCAGGTGAATACAACTTAGAAATAGAGTATTAAATAATACAAATTATTGTTTTTATTGTATTTTTATAACTAAGTGATGTCATCGATCAATGATATCATACCACTGATGGTTGACATGAGATATGATATGCTAAGCGATTGGGATCACATCAATATAATACACGATCAAACTTTAGGTTTTTTCTTTATTTATTGTCCATTTTATAAGATTACTAGAAGATAGTATATATACTATTGCATAATATTATATACAGTAATAATTATTTTAAAATTTTATGCCAAATATTTTAGACACAAAAACTTTAGACGACTTAAACAAAGGATTGAAAGAAGTGTCAGGTGTTGGCATTAAAGCGACAACTGTTACCACTTATGGCATTACAAACAATGAATTAAACGACAAAAAATTAAAACTTAATTTAATGACAGACTTCAATAGCAGTCAAATAATAAATTTAATTGAAAACGACAAATCATTGCAATATTTTGTTGTTATAGGAAACAGTAAAACAGTTGAAGAGATTATTACATTGGCTTACGAGCGGTCATTACTGAATAATCCTTTAAAATGGATTGTTGTACTCTCGGAACCGATTGACGATTCATCTGATTTCTGGAAACGTATGTCAGATATATTGGGTGTCACTGATGTCACTGTTATTAGAAGAGAAGTATCGCCTTATAGTGAATGTAATCAATTAAGAGAAGGCTGTCAAATGAAGTTAGCTTTTGATACTTTGAAAAATGCCATCAAAAAGGTCATTGAATTACCATTTTATGACTTCAATGATACCAAACAAGTTAAAGCTCAGAGTAAAAACAGATTAATTTCTCAAATGAAAGTAAGACAACTAATAATATCATTATATTGTTATAACTTATGATAATTTATATTAAGTTGGAAATGGGAACCAATAAATCAATGTCTCAATTCTGTGGTAATTGTGATCGATATGTTGTCCAATCTTTTTACAAACATAGAATCGGATCAGAAAATGAAAACAAAGATGACTTAACTGAAATTGAAGACAACCCGCAATACAAGATAATTGTTGAGAGAACAGGATTGTGGTCACCATTTAAGGGTATGCTTCAGGAGGGAAAGGTATTGGGATATTCAGATGGAAATCTCAAGAATCTAGAGATTATAATCGGAATCGTTCATGTATTACAACTTTCATTTATAACACACAAACAAACACACACACACACACACACACACACACACACACACACACACACACACACACACACACACACACACACACACATACATACATACATACACACATACATACATACATACACAGAAACTTTATATAAGAATTAAATTGTTGACTATTATAATAATTATTGAATTATATTGAAAGCAACCGCCATTAGTAAAGATTCGGGATATAAACGATCCAAAGTCTGTCGAGGGAACAACATATGAAATGATCAAAATATTGGGAAAACGGATGAATTTTACCATTAAATTAGATATGGAAAAGTCTATCACTTTGGGTCGAAAGAAAAATGGCGTATGGACCGGGATGATTGATAAAGTAAACCGTAGTAAAGTGCGAATTGGTGCAAATGGTTACTGGAGGACAGTCGACCGCATGGATGCCGTAGATTTTACATTTCCTTTTGATTACGAAGAGATGTCAATGATGTTACAAAAGACAAGTGAAGATCACAAATACTTATTCCTCACACCATTTACTTGGGATGTAATGCTATATCTTATAGTATCAATAAATCATAATTTATTATTAATGTTAAATTTGTTGATTGAAGGCATGGCTCAGTATATTATTTACTGTTGTACTAATGGGTCCGTTATTATGGATAGTTCATAGATCGAGCAAATACTATGATTATTATAATATGAGAGATAATAAGGGTCTGTTTAAATTATCTAACTGTGCTTGGTATTGTTTTGGAGCAATGGTTCAACAGGGAGGCGATCACTTACCATTGGCTATATCTGGAAGAATATTAGTGACATTTTGGTGGCTCTTTGTCATAGTGACGGTCACCACTTATAGTGGAAATTTAGTCGCTTTGTTAACGTTTCCTAAAATAATACATCCGATTGAAAATCTTGAAGACTTGTTATCATATAGTGGATCAATGAAATGGGGTACCGATACGGGAGGTGCTATGGAAGAGTTGATTGAAACGGCTAAAACAGGACCTCTCAAACAGTTAGCCAGTAATATACAATTTTTTGATAACCGAACCATAGAAATGTATGAAAGAATAAAGAACGGGGAACTGGTATTCCTCGCCAGTGATTCTGAGGTTCGCTATCTTATTACTAAAGAATTTAATCGAACAGAAAAATGTGAATTAATGATCGGAAAGGATGCCGTCTTCTCCAGTTCCGTCTCATTCATCATCAAAAAAGGAGAACCAAAAGGATTTAAAGAAAGACTTGATTTCGAGTAAAAATAAATCTTTATTTCTTTTAAATTCATTTATTTTATCTGTTATTTAATAATATATTATAATAATGTTAACAATATTATTGATAAACAAAAGAGTTGGACGAATGGCTAAAACAGGACTAGTCTTACAGTGGAATAACAAGTTTGAAGAGAAAGGCAATGATTGTTTGTATCCATTAGTTGGTTAGTAATTAATATATATATATATATTGTATGATTGAATGCTATTTTTAAAAATATATTTAATAAAAAATGATTTAAATTTCTAACAAATGGTTTGAATGAAAAGTAAGGGCTGGAGACGTGAAGAAGATAGGAATGGCTCACATGATTGGCTGCTTTTTCATACTTGGAATCGGTCTGTTGTTTGGTTTGTTCTCATTGTTTGGTGAAGTGTTTAAGAGCAACAAAAAAATCAAATTGACTGCCGGTGTCATTCAATTTAATGGAAAACAAAAATTAGGAAAATGGGATAAATTGAAATTGTTTTATCAAAAGGTCAATCAGGGATCGTTGTACAGCTCATGGATTAATACTACCAACACTTTGGTGACTAACAATAACAGAAATACCGCTAAATTGCAATTCAATTATCCGAACATTAAGGCAGAAGACGGTAGAGCATTACCGGCCGGTTGGGGCGATCCTAACAGAGCCCGTAATGTCAACCAACCCTTAAATGGCAAGAGAGCGCCGTCGGTGTTTGGAAACAGAGAAACCACTAATTATAATTCAAAGGATAATTATAATTATTTTAGTTACGATCCGATTAAGTCTAACTATAAAAACAATTTCGGATATCAATAATGGTTTTATACCAATAAACGCACATATTTTTAAACATTGCTAACTTTATCGCACAAATATTTCCTCAAATTAATTGTATTTATAGTTAATAGTTTTTTAACTGAATTGTTTAAAAACTGTATTATAAAAATGTTAAAATTTTCATATATAAATCGTATTTTACTAATCCAGTTAATCTTTAAAACTTTATTGTTTACCAAATATACTGTAAAATGACAATTTTAAGCCTTAATTACAAATAAAATTATTTTTAAAAAAGCTTAAAATTACTTATTAAATATTGAAAATAATATATAAATAAATGATTATTATTGATATATGATAGTAACGCATTGTGTTAGTTTTAGATTTAGCCAGTTCAAATTTATATATTTGAAAATAGTTATAAAATTTATGTCATTAAAAATATATTCAATATTTGTCAATATATATGTTAAATCTCTGGTTACAACATTTAATTTATTTATAATATACAGTAAGTGACAAATAGTGATAAATAAATAGCAAAACAGTAACCGTAGCTACAGATCGACCGATTAATTTATAAAATAAATTATTTTGCGAAAAATCTATAAAAATATCTTTTTGTCACAACTTTATAACCAATCAAATATAACTTCTATATTATAAATAAGTCAATGTCTAGGTTTATTGAGTAAATTTTATTGATTTATAAATATTATCTGTATAACTGTTATAAACCTATAATAGCTTAAAATTATTAGTACTTACAGTTATAACTAAATATGAAAGATTTACAATAAATTAAATAAAATTATTATAAAACAATTAGTTGTAAAAATGCAAAATAAAATGAAGAATTCGTTTATAATTATATTAATATTTTTTATAATTCTTAGAACTGTTTCTTCTAGAGATATCACTGCGGGTGAGCTTTAAGTTTATATTTTATTTATTTATTTATTTGAAAATTTAAGATAAATATATTTATTATAATATATATAATATAATTTTAACAAAAGTGGTTGCAGTGGATAAGGATAATATAGTAGCCCTTAATGCTATCCGACAAGCGTTTGGATCCTATAAATCAACAAATGATAATCAAATACATGTTTCAGAGGCTATTGTTAGCGATGAAGACTCATCTCAAGAAATATGTCAGCAATTATTTCGCGATAATATAAGTCCCACTTATGTGTTGGATGTGACGGAATCGGCTCATACTTCACCTAAAGTCAAGAATATGGTCCGAGAAATGGGAATTCCAACCATTTCTACGACATATCAATTGGGTTACGGTATACCTAAATGGAGAAATCTGGATGACGTGGAAAAACAATACTTAATACATGTCAACAGTCCTGGGGATACCATTCCTGTTATGATTAAAGATATTGTCAATTATTATAACATCAAAACACTTGTCATTTATTATGACAATTCATTTAGTAAGTTAATTAACATTTATATTTGATTTAATCTACCTATTAATCTAAATAAATTATACTTTTATTTTACAGTTTTCGATAGATAATATCTATACTAAAAAATAATATTAGAATTATATATATTTATAATTTATACAGTTTTTAAACTATAAATATAATTTAAGTTTAATTAAACAATTCAGCAAAAATCAACTTATAATAAGCGCAGAACAGTTATATAATAATCATTGTGTAAATACATTATTGGGTTGGTTTGACAAAATAACTTTTAATAATTTAATATAATTTCATTATCATTTAAGAAGAAAATTTTTTAAAAATAGTAAAACAATTTTTCCTTTTTAACAAAATAAATCTTAATAAAAAATTATTAATGTATTATGATATCAAATAAACCTTAAAGTGTAAAAACGTATGTAAATTCTGTATCAATTATGTATATATCAGGATTCAGCAATTGTGGCCATTTTACACCACCTAAGATCGAGATTTTTTTAAAAAAATTTACCACTAATATAATTGATATTTCTTAATAATTTAGTCAATTCTGTTATAATTATTATTAAAATTTTTGTATATCTTTAAAATTCAAATATATTAACAATAAAATTTTACTAAAGAGTTAGATCACAAGCAAAAGTCGCTGCTTTTCAACACAAAGACCCGGTTTATAATCAGACAATTGGAGGGAACGACTGTCGAAACCTACGTTAAGATGTTGGCCGATATGAATAAAGCAAAATTAAACAACTATTTCATATTTGGCACAATTGATACTTTAAACAAAATCATTGAAGCGGTAATCAATACTTTATTTAATAATAAATATAATTTTATATGTCATATAAATTCCTATAAATTATAGGCAAATGAAAATGAAATGATTGAAAAGCCTAATAAATGGCATTTTATAACAAAAGTAAGTTATTTAATTAGTAGAAGTAAAATATATATTGTATGTATGATTATTAAATTTTAATTTGTAAACAAATTAAATTAAAAAAATATATTTATAAAATGATTTACTTTAGGAAAAAGGCAAACTTGAATGCAAAACATGTAAACGAATTGAAGTAATGTTTTCTCAACCATTGAAAAGCCGTTTACACGACTATGAGTTGAATATAACTCTGGATAATATCGATAACATTAATAAAGTGGACTCTTATTTCTATCATGACTTAACCCGATTTACACTTGAAATCATTGACGATCGCATCCATGAATGGCCTCAAAACATAACTTTTCCAAAGTGTGGTAAACACTTGGATAAAGAACTCAAACAAGAAAGAGTAAGCTTTCAGTTTGCAAATGAATTGGCACAAGAAGTTCTGTACGGAATGTTTGGCAGATTTGTGTTTAATTCATATAAAATGCAAAACAATTATCAGGAGATTAGTATGAGAACAAACAAAGTGGTCATATCGGGTGAAACTAACAATAAAAATACAAAAATATCTGAATGGGAATATGAAGGACACACCGGAACATTGATATTCACTGCCGCTCAAGAAAAACAAGAAAATAAATTAAAACACTATAAGATTGTAACCATAATTGTATGTCTTTGTAATAATACAATTGGATTAACAAAACTAATTGTTATGTAATTTAATATTTATTTGTTTGTTTGTCTCAAAGCAAGCGCCGTTTGTTATGAAGACATCGGTAAATGACACCAAAAATGAAGACTTTTATGGATATTGTATTGATTTGCTTAAAGAAATATTGAATCACACGAAGGAAGAAGACAAATTCACGTATGAGTTATATGTTGTCGACAAATTCGGTACTAAAGATGAGTCCAAAAAATGGTCAGGGATGATCGGGGAACTGGCAGAAAAGGTTAACATTATCTTATATTTTGCTTATAACTTACCGGTAATTGTTGTATAGAGAGCTGACATTGCATTGGGTCCGATATCAGTGATGGCTGAAAGGGAAACAGTGGTTGACTTTACAGTTCCCTATTATGATTTGGTTGGTATAACCATTTTAATGAGGAAACCATCGGTTCCGTCACATTTGTTCAAATTTTTGACTGTCTTAGAGACTAATGTGTGGCTCTGTATATTAGCCGCTTATTTCTTCACTTCGTAAATTAACTCTAAGATATGTATTTTGTTTAAAAAATTAAAAATTGTTTTATTTTTTGACTCTTAAATAGATTTCTTATGTATTTGTTTGATCGCTTGAGTCCATACAGCTATCACAACAATAAAGAGAAATATAAAGACGACGACGAAAAGCGAGAGTTTACTCTTAAAGAGTGTCTTTGGTTTTGTATGACATCTCTGACCCCTCAAGGAGGTGGTGAAGCCCCTCGTAATTTATCGGGTCGATTGGTGGCGGCCACGTGGTGGCTCTTTGGCTTCATTATCATAGCCTCTTATACGGCTAATTTGGCTGCTTTTCTAACTGTTTCCCGATTAGATTCGCCCATTGATTCACTCGACGATTTGGCCAAACAGTATAAAATTAAATACGCGCCTCAAGAAGGCACGTCATCCGCCACTTACTTCGAGAGAATGGCAGGAATTGAGGAAAAATTTTATGAGTATTTAAATTCAATAATTAATGTAAAATTTATACTTTTATTAATGGGATTTACTTTTTTTTAAAGGATTTGGAAAGATATGTCTCTCAATGACAGTCTTAGTGAAGAGGAAAGGGCTAAATTAGCCGTTTGGGACTATCCTGTTAGTGATAAGTATACAAAAATCTGGGCTCAAATACAAGAAGCTAAACCACCGGCCTCTTGGATGGCGGGCGTTGAACGCGTCAAACAAGAGGGATCTACTAAACCTAATGAAGGATTTGCTTTCATAGGTTAGTCTTTGACACTAAGAGTTATAAATATGCCGTATATTTATATAAAATAAATATTAATTAATTGTTAAGCCGAAGCAACAATGGTTAAGTATGCAGTTATGACTAATTGTGATCTACAAAGTGTGGGCAATGAATTCAGTCGCAAACCATTAGCATTAGCCGTACAACAAGCATCACCACTAAAGGATCAGTTAAGTAGTGCTATACTAAAGTTGTTGAATCAAAGACGTCTGGAATCGCTTAAAGAAATTTGGTGGAACAAGAACAAGGAAAAGAAGGACTGCCAGGACTCAAAAAAACAAAGTGATGGCATCAGTATCAACAACATTGGTATCGTTGATCACAAATCTTTAACAAAATCTTTAAACTTAACTTAACTTTAAAAATTTGGTATTAATAGGTGGAGTATTTATTGTCATATTTATCGGTGTAGTGTTGGCCTGTATAACATTAGCCGTCGAGTACTGGTATTTCAAAGGTAAGAGAGACGGCGCTAAAGTTGTGGCCATCAAAGAGTACGGTAATACTGTTAGAAATGCACACAACGGGACCGCACCTATCGGGCATATGGGTCACGGCATACCAGCAATACCAGCAATGGGTCCCATGTCTATTAGACACTGAATATCATTTATTGTTACTAATAACACAACTCAGCACAACTAATAATTTATTACTAATTGAAATTTTATTTTTTAACATGTATTAATTAATTAATAATATTAAAATGGATAATTATCATAATGTTAACAAATTATTTATTATTTCAGTATAAAAATCAAAAATATTTAGCGAATAAATAAAATTATTACAGTATAATAAATACTATGACAATATTTATGTTTAATATTATGCATAATTATTTTTCTATTTTATTTTGCCTATTAATGTTTGTAATTGATTTAATATAATCACAAACAAATTAACTATAATTGTAAATAATTAAAATATAAACTAAAAAGTCAACAATAATTCTCACATTTATTCAAATGTAAATTTACAGTATCTGTATATCAATGCTGTAAAGCTATTGTAGATTCTGTTATCACTTTTATCGGTATTTTATTCAATATAATTATCTACACATTGTTTACCTTTTTGTCAAACATTATACTAATTATTTTTTTATAATCTGTCAATTGTAATACAGTATAATATTACGATTTGAAGTATTATCAATAACGAGAAGTTGGTTTTATTGTCGAAATATTGTAAAATATACACAATTACTGTACAATAATTGATTCAAACAAATAAATCAATTACCGTATATTCTCTCCTCTCAATTCATTATTATTGATAATAAAAACTTTAACAAAACTATTTGATTTACCGTAAGTGTTAAATAAATCTGTTTAATATATAATTTATTGACAAATTGATCGTAGAATTATCATAAATAATTTATAATAAAAAATAAATGATATTTCATAAACTAAATTAAATATAATTTAAATAAAATATTAAAACAAATAATATTACAAATATTGCTTATAATTTTTAATTACTATTACGAGTATCACCTGAGCTGTTCTCAGATAAAGAATTAAGCGAAACACCGGTTAATTCATTTTCAGTATTCTTGAGCGCCCACTGATGTTCACAGATCTCCAATGCCTCCCATTCAGCCTTAAACGCCTGTTTGGGATCAGTAGGCATAGCCATAGCGGCGCCAGACATTTGGTCGTTCATTAGCCGTGTCTGATCTGCGGCATTGTTTTCACCCAATACAAGAGCGTAGATACTTCTCAAACCAAATACGTTAAGGAAATACCACGAAGCGGACGACACCCACGAAGCGTCTAAAGACATCAATTCAATGCCCCTCTGAAGCATTGGCTTAAAACGTAATGTCAGCGGAAACGGCACTTTAGTGGTAACAAAACCAGAAAACGTCCAATTAATCCAACCGCCGATTAATATCATCGGTAATACATTTGTCACATTTCCCTTCAACATATCGGTCATCATTGACGGATCAGTCATCGGATTGGGAGCCGCTGTCTGTCGTTTTTGACTCACTTTAAAATAACCCGTTTCTTCGTCATTGAAATAATGACGACGAATAAGAAATGACTAAAAAGTAAAAGATATGACAATCAGTACAACCATTCATTAGATGACAATTCAATCATTACCTGTTTGGGTAGATATTTGCCATTTTCTCTGAGTAATCGGGATCTGATCATTGCTTGACTGTCCATCACTTGTTGTAACTCAATCTTCTTTGTCGATGAAATTAAAATCGAGACATAATGTCGAAGAATACCCACAAAGAAAGTGATGACAACAATGGGTAGAAACACCCAAACCCTGATATCAGGATCTAAGACAAGATCGTCGGACATTGTTTTTGTTGACTATAAATGTGTTGATTTTGGTGATTGTTGTGATAATCATATGATATCTACAATAATATGGGAATCAATTCAAGTGATAAACACTTGAGAGTTAATGTAAGCAATGAATAGCAATATTGAGTGCAAATGTCGAATCACTTAACGAAGTCATTGATTGGTTGCTTCAGTGCCGCCGTCTTGTGTTGTTATCACTGATTGGTTGGATTCAAACAGTATTGAAGTGAATGGCGGCCAATGGGAACACGTGTAGTGTTTGTGTTGTGAATAAACCGTTAAAATGTGTATTTGAAGTCATCTTTGAATACATTGAATGCAAGCATTGAATCGTTGTTTTGCAACAAATTCAGTGATCGCGCCATAAGTCGACTTCAATACTGTTTTGTCCAAACATTTGATCACATTTTGTATCATCACTTGTGTTGATATCACTAAATCCAACCAATTTGTCCACAATTGTCACCCAAATGGCTCCCAAAGGTATGTTAAATATATTTATATCACTATATATTACAATCTATGCATTAATGCGCTAATAAAGCCATTGGTTATCAATATTTGATTTATTATTCATTACATTATATAATTAGACAAACAATTAGACATTTATTAATAAATTTTAAAACAAATTATAGTTAAATAAGTATTAAAAATAGTGTTATTTATATGAAWTGATTTATAGCGGCAAACAAATCCACTCCTAAACCTAAAAAGTCTGCCCGAACTGCAGTTAAGAAAAGTGCGGCCAAACCTAAGGCTAAACCCGCGGTTACTAAGAGAACCACTAAAGCAAAGGCAACGCCAGAGACTGTTAACTCTGTCGACATCAGCGGCGATGAAGTGGTAAATGAGGTGAAACCAACTTCAGTGGCCAATGCGGGCGCGTCTCCAGCAAAGAGAAGCCGATCTAAATCTCCGGCTAAGAAAGCAGTCGTTAAAAAGTCTACGAAAGCGACGACCAAAAAGAGCGCAGTGAAGACAACTACGACCGTTGTTACGGCTTCACCATTGAGATCACGATCTGCTTCTCCAAGAAAGACAGACACGGATGCGTCGGCACAGAATGGCGCCACAACTGCACCAACATCTGCAAGTCCTAAGAAATCACCGAAAAAGTCAGCCCCAGTAAAGAAAGCGACGAAAAAGACCGCCAAAACTCCATCCAAGTCACCCAAAGCTAAGACAAGCAGAGCCAAGAAATCGGTACCGAAGAAAAATACTTCTCCACCCAAACAATCGACTACTGATGTCAGCAGTGGTTCGCCTCCAAAACCGGTGTCACCTAAGAAATCGCCGGCCGTTAAGAAAGCAGCGCTCAAGAAGAAAACAAAAACACCATCGAAGGCAAAGGCAACCAAAAAGACGACGACTCCAAAGCCTAAGAGAGGACAGAAAAAGACAGCAAAGGCTTAATCTAAACGATAAACAACGCGAAAGTACTTCACGTTTTAAATTTCGATGATTTATAATTATATTTTAGTAAAACAATTACAAATTTAATTGAAATATATTTATATATATAAATATATATCATTAATACCATTACATACATTACTTTCGCCATTATTTCATTCATAATCTTATATATGTTTCATTCATATATTTTTAAACGTTATAAATATTAAAGTAACTTATATTATAATCTTTCGATGGTTTGGTTTCTTATATATGATATGTAAGTTTTGTTTGAAACTGTTTTTAATGTATTGAATTTTGAACTAATTATAGACAATACATATAATTATATAGTTTTGAGAAAAGCCTAAATAAGCAGATAATTGTTTACTTTTATTTAAATCAACTCATTATAATGTATTCATAGATCTATTTGTCCATTAATTGTCATCAAATTACACAAACACTAAATATTTTGATTATTATAATGCATTTTAGTAAAAATCTAAATTTTAAGCTCATTTTTAATTTGCAATACATTTATTATTATAATTATTTATAATTAACTTTTTATTTTATATTCAATTATAATAAAATTGTAATTTTTAATATTTTTATATTTCATTTATTAATATAAATAACATTTATTTGTGATTTAATGAATATATCGTAATTTCATTTATCAAATATATAATACATGATGCCTTTATTTACTTAATAATTAAGTCTATACATTATATTACATTTTTATTTATATAATTTATCAGCATTTTAGATAAAATACTAGTTTATTATTATTCATTATTGTATAAAATATATACTATATTATATAATAATGATATCAATTGAGCTAAAAAGCAAACAAAGATAACATGAAAAATAGCGCCAAAACTTAGATTAAATATTTTGACGATATATTTACTAAACGATAGAATCGAGTGATACAATTGATACTGAATTGTTAGGTCAGTGTTAACCTTATGGTAATGTTTTTATTATAATATTTTGTGGTTATTACCGGTAAGTAATGTTATTTTAATACAAATATTTTGTTTAATAAGTGCTGGTTATAGTTGATAATGTTGTTGACTTAGTATACTTTATGATGTAAAATATAGGATATAAAGTAGACCAATGAAATTATAAATATAAATTTAGCAATTTTTCAAATCTATAAATTTAATTTATTTAATAAATAGTAAATCTCATAAAATAATAGAGTATTTATCATAATTAACATGGTTAATTTTTAAACAGAGTTACTATTGAAACAAATAGAAATATTTTTAAAGTTATTAATATAATTATATTATATCACTACTATATTTATAAAAATTTATGTTATATTTGAGTGTACAGTATGTGTGTAAGTGATTGAGTAAAATAAACTGTTGAGACAATTATATAATATACTTCTCAAAGTTTGTTTTAGTAATACTATTAAATAGTTTTAATCGTATTAAAGATTTTTACAGTTTTAGAAATATTCACAGGTTTTATGAAAAAATTGATAAAAATAACATTTAATATTCAATAAAATTAATTCTATAATAATATTTGGGTTATTTTAAGTATTATATAAATTGTTTTTAATTAAATAATATTTTCATATTTTAAAGTTTCAAAATGTAAATTATTTTTCTAATATATTAATATTTTAATAGTATGTTGTAATCAATGATTGTTATAGTATTACTTGATTTTTTCAAACAACTTTCTATTGAATAATTTAAAAATATATATTCATATAATTTAAATTCATTTATTATATAACAACAAAAAGATTGTATTTAATATATTCTTATAATGTATTTGTATTTATGATAGTTGTTAGTGTTGTTCCTATTGAAAAATGCGTAATTTCATTGTATGGAAATTGCGTGAAATTGACTAAATTATTGCAAAAAGTTTGAAAATCACAATTGAAACATATTACAATCTATAATTTTTCAAAAGTGTTAAAACATTTCTTAACTTATGATATGTATAAAATTATTAATGAATTAATATAATTATGTTGACAATAAATTAACCATCTAAAAACTGTGTTAAAAATTACTTAAAAATGAGTAAAGAATCTTAATATAATTTTTATACAATTCATGCGCGCAATTTCACGCAATTTTCAGCAATTATTGTGGTAAACGAAAATTAGATTGCGTAAAATTACCAACACTAATTCTACTAAATGATATTTAATTTTCATAGTATAAATAAAACTTTATTCCTTTATATATATATATACTGCAGTATATACTGTATATCTATAAATCTATAAAATTATATATTATTATATATATGTACAGTACTTTTTTATTCTAAAATTAAACTAAATTAATTATATTCAAAAATTATAATTATAATTATGATCCAATTTACAATACTTTATTAACATTTATTTATTAACTTAACTATTAGTTAACTAAAATTAAATAAATATTAAAAACAAATAAATATTAAATAAATTAAGTTTTAAAAAATGATAAGAAATTAACATTTTGTTACATCATTTAGTCGTATGTTTGTAACATTGTGTATATTAGTCTAACTAATTGAATAATTCATTTATTAATTATACAAAATCACCAAGTTGCAACTTGCAAGTAATGTTAAGTAGATATGGTATTATTTTACTAATATTGAATACTACAGTATATATAAATTATAAATTTTATTTATAATGATATTTAAAGCATATAAAGCTATAAAAATGTGATAATGACTATCATAGTTAATAAAACCAAACGATTAGTTATTTTTAATAAAATTTATTATTTTTAAATTTTGTAGTTACAGTATATTAATAAATAAATAATTATTTAAAGTTTCTTTGTTTAAAAAAAATCGTTAATTAATATTATTGTAATAAATAATGTTTTTTCATTTTAAAATTAATGATTGTATAATATTTTAAATACACAAAATAAAATTTATCAAATAAACATTGAGACAAAAAGCAAAAATTTACTAACAAAACATTTTTCAATACTACACATCAATTGGAAAAATATTTTGACAGCTTATTTGGAGTTAAATTTAAAAAATAATATACTATAATAACTTATATTCAATAACTATAATATATTTATCTGTTTTGTACTAAATATAATAGTTATTAAATGGTTAATATAGTTAATAGCAAACAGAATAGTTATTTATATGTTATTTAAAATTATGTGATTCGAGTCCACAATTAATATTAAGCTATAGTCCGATACAGAGACAGTTAGTTACAGTTTTTATTTAGATTTCTATAATTTCATAATTATATACTGTATTTATGTAAGATTTAATTTTAACATACAATTTAACATTATATAAAATTTGATATAAAATAATATTTAACAAAAAAACATGTATCGCTTAATACACCTAAATGATCATTGATATTAATCAGGGTTGCTAAAGGGGGGGGGGGTAAGACGTCTTACCCCCTGAGATGGAGAAATTTTGGCTTTTACCCCCTGGCCTGAAGCCAAAAAGTTAGGGGGCCCCCTACCAATTTACGGCGCCGAAGGCGCCGAAATTTTTTTTCAACTATGTAAAATTTTATATTTAACAAAATAATAAATATTAAATTAGTTTTAATATAAATTAATAGTTTATGTATAGAAAATAAATAGATAAAAATACTTAATTACATCAATTTAACATTATTTACACTAGTTGGGGCACTCCACGAGAAAAAATAAATTCCCACCAATTTTCAAGAAAATTATTGATTAAATTTTATTAAATTTTTTAGCTGTTTATAAAAGATAATATATATTTAATTTCTTATTAAAAGTCGAAAACTAAAATTTTTAGCTTAAATTTTAAAATAATTATATTTTAATATTTTTAAACTTTATATAAAAATGTGTTAGTTATGTGCTTTAAAAAATAATAATTATGATATTAAATAAATATTACATAAATAAAGTTGGGGCACTCCACAAGAGAAAAATGTTCCCTAATAAATTTTTAGTTATTTAATAATTATTTCTGACAATATTATTATTAAGACGTTATAATAAATACAGTACTATATCATTAATTTTTTAATTAAAATCAATTTTTTAAAACTAAATAATTGTATTTTTAATTAATTATCATAATTATAGTTATATATATTTATGCATTTCTTTATTTTTTATATTTTTGTAAAAATGAATATTTTAGATAACATTTTGAGTATTGAGAATTAAGTTGAGAATATTTTTATTAGTTAATTTATAGATAATTTAGTGGAAATTTATTAAGAATTTATAAGGAATTAATGGGGATATAGTGGGAATTTATAGAAAAAAAGTGGGAATTTAGTGGGAATTTAAAATTTTTATATTAAAATGTGTTAGTTATGGTTCAATATAAAATACTATAAAAAGATATATTCTTAAATTAAATTAATTATTATTAAACAGAATTAATTAATAATTATTTGCCAATTTTATTTTTATTATTATTATTATTAAAACGTTATAATAAATACAGTACCATATCATTAATTTTTTAATTAATAACTATTTTTTAAAAAACTACATAATATATTTATTTAATAATTATAATTATAATAGTTATATATATATATGCAATTCTTAATATTTAGAAAACATTTTGAGTATTGAGAAATTAAGTTGAGAATATTGTTATTAGTTAATTTATTGAGAATTTAGTTGGAATTTAGTGGGAATTTAGTGGGAATTTAGTGGGAATTTAGTGGGAATTTAGTGGGAATTTAGTGGGAATTTAGTGGGAATTTAGTGGGAATTTAGTGGGAATTTAATGGGAATTTAATGGGAATTTAATGGGAATTTACTCAAATTTGGCAAAAATTGTCGTTTAAAAATGCAATAAAAAATGTTCACCCCCCCTATACCCCCCCCCCCCCCCCCAAGTTTTTTCGAAAATTTTGTCATTTTACCTCCCCCTATACCCCCCCTGAAATCGAAAACCTTTAGCAACCCTGATATTAATATAAGTTTAATTATTAAATCTAAACCATTACATTACTTAAATTGTTATTTTATTGATTTCAAATTGAAAAAATATAAACAATAAGCATAACTAGTTAGCTTTATTATATTAACAAGTATTATATTTTAAAATAAATTATACGATTATAAAACTGCATAAAAAAACTAAAACATTGCATCAAATAAAAAATATAGTTTTCCATAATTTAATCAGATATATGAACTAACAAATACAACTCTATCGGATTATTTGCATAAATGATTTAACTAATTATATTAATATTTATTTATTATTTTATTAATAATTGTATTTAATTTATAACAATAGATAATCTGTAATAATATGTTAAAACATGTGAATTTTATGATGTTATAGACTCTATAATATAGAGTAATAGTAACAATAAGTCTTAAATTATGATCGCATTTGTTATCTAAATTCAAGGTTTTATTTGCAATGTTTAATAATTAGTGTAAAACTTTATAAATCATAATCTGTTATTAGATGTGAGCTCTCATTGAGTGTTAGTTTTCATGTGGTTTTAATCAAACATTAAATCCAATGAATTATGTCTTTCGTGTCAAATAAACGATATATTATTTAATACAAATGTGTTGTTTATGTCTGTATCGGTATTGTATGTGGAGGTCAGCGCACCCGTAGTTTTGTAAAGCCTTTCACATGTTTGTCATTTATTTATTCAGTTTTTACTATTTATTCAATTTTACAATAACTATGGATTTCACAAAAATTATTTTTGAATTACAAATCTATATTTTAATTAATTAATTAATTAATAACAAAAATAAAACTATCAATACTTGTAAAAATAGAAACGTAACTGTGCCTTGCTAAATTTGAGGCTAATTTTTTAAATTAATTTTTATATGATAAGTATGATATACATTATAAATAATAATAAAAATATATAATATTAATTTAATATAATTTAACCAACTTCAACAAATCAATAAAATACAAAAAATATATAATTAATAATATTGAAAATGTTATAAATTTATCTAAATATTTATTTATAAAAAAACTTTTAAAATATGTTCAGTTATTCAATTTTTAAAATTATTATTTTGTTGTTAATATTAATATTCGTTTATTTTAATAAATAATAAATAAGTTTATATACAATATGTAAATTATATCCATAGAAGTTTAACTACAGTATATATTGTCATAAAAATAATTTAGTTATTTAAAGTAATGTATATTCAATATATTTTAATATTTTATAAACAAAATACAAATAATAATCACTAATTTACTTAAAATTTTCTTTATGCAAACTATTTTTTATGTAAACTGTAATTTTTAATATAATTAATAAAGATTTGGTAAATGAAACATTATTTATAATTAAAATGTAAATTATATAATATTCTCTGTTGTAAATTATAACTTGAATTAAATATGATAAAAATAACCTTTAGTTAACATAACTTGCCAACTAGGTGATTTTGTAGTATTAATAATATAATACAAATAAATTATGTAGAAATTTAATAGTAAATTATATATGATATATAAATTATATGACAGGTTAAATTATTGTAATATTATAGTTACAATTACAAGTCAAATAAATAATTAAATCATTTTGGTTTTGAAATATATATCATTGACATAATGCAATTTATTTATGTTTCTAACATTATATAAAAGTTACTAAATTATAAAATGTAATATTATTAATATACTTAAATTTATAATTGTTTTTAACTTATATATATATATATATATTTAATACTGTATGTACAGTGTATACCATATATGCATGGTTTTGATATTTATATAATAATTAGGCACATGTTTGGTGTTCAATGCTATACATGTAATGTATATTATTTTGATTATACTGTAGTGTAGTCTAACATATGATTGACTATATATTCAACACAATCACATGTACTGTATTAATACAACTGAAATAATAATAAATTGAAAAATCACTTAATGTTTATTCAATAGGTTTTGATTAACAAAATTGATAATTTGTGTACAGGTTTTGGTATAGGGTTAACATAAATAAAGTGATTTAACCTAAAATGAGGTCTACTTTTCATTATAAAAATGTTATGCGATTTGTGAGGAAATGAGGGCTCAATCACTGGTTATGCAACCCATAGATATGTGACACTCAGTTACCATTCATTTATTATATCAATTATACGCTTAACAATACAGTAGATCTGATAAAATAGGAAATTAATTAATTATTATATTTTACTTTTCAAACATATATATCAATTATTCATACAAATAAGTCTTAATTATAATTCAATTAACTCAATAACATTATTGTGATAATAGTGTAACAAAGTTACCTATTGTTATAATACATATTATACTGTATTATACTGTAGTTATTGTTTGTTGTATAACCCGAACCAAAGCCCGAACCATAACCCGTATGGATGTAGACTCTAATGGCATGGAGTATATGGTGTGTTGTGTTGTTTGTTGTGTTGACGTAATAACAGTTTGTCTAATAATGGGGAGAAAGTGGGCACTGATTGGCCAATGAGTGTCAGTGTTGTTGTGTTGCAGTCAATGAGCGCATGACTGTTGTTGTGCTCTAAGTATTGTAAGTATTGAATGCATTGAATGTGTGTTGAGTTGTGAGTCAGCTATGGATGTATTGAATTGAAAGCAATTGAATGACTGCTCACTGTTTGACATCAACTCAAGTCTTAATAGTTTTGAGATACGACTCATTTTGACCATTGATTTGAACATTGATTTACCGTTGATTTAACCATTGATTTAACCATTGATTTGAACATTAATGTTGCCATCAATTGGTACCAACACTATAGTGACAATTGGACACAATCTGCACATAACAGTCATCATCTCATTTATGATCCAATTGTATCATTCATTTGTATATATCATATGTGTATATCATTAATATAATTGAAATCCTATTGATTGACAAAACTGACTGCCATTGAGATGATGTCCATCGCAGCACTGATTCAGGTATGTGACACCTGATGGCTGTCCATGAATGTCACCATTAATTGGTTTGCTATCACTTATAGGCAGCAGAGTATTTGGATCGTCGAGAAAGAGGTGAGACATATGTACGACATATCATATGATGACAAATGTTGTCATATATTTAGCTTAAGTTTAGTTATGTCTTGTTTGACCACAATTTGTGTTTTATTTATTAGAGTTATAGTTTAGTTAATATTGAGTTAGGATTTATCAATTGAATACTATGTTGTAGTGGTTTATGATTAGTGCAAATGATAGCAAAATAATATGTTTGTTAAACTAAATATAAGTTAAATTAAAAATATATATCAAGTGTTGGCAAACGAGTCGTTGAATGGCTGCTCAGGCAGTGGTGTGTTTGCAAAGCATTAGCCAAATGTCAAACCTATGATACAAATAATGTTGAGTTAACTCAACGACAGCTGATTTTGACGTTAGAGACGCACAGCTCAGCCATTACTATATGAGACAAACAGCCAAACACTCATACCTTACCCATACTATACCAGTCTCTACACAATGCCATACAATATATGGTATATACTGTAACCTCAATTTGTTTGACTCTTTACGCAAATACATTGAATGTTATGTTAGGCATATATTAGGGCTAAAAATACAATATTATTTATATAAATGGCCTCAATATGATAGCAATTTATGGACAAATGAGACAATAGATCTAATAATGTGTTTGTTTGATACAGAAGCAGAACACGGATATGCGTCCACTCTTCCCATTACACATGATCTCAGTCTGACTCGTCGTAGGACTAAATCGAAGAAATCTCAGGGAAACAGGTAATTGTAAACACCTTAACCACCAGTGCTTTGTTGGTCAACACCTGTTTTGCTAATTGTTTTCATAATTTTCATTTACACTTAAATGAAAATTTTTATCTCAAATTTGAACACAAAACAAGTCATAGCTATCATTACTATATAATATGCATAACTATACACATTATTGCACACATGCTATCCATGCAATCCATGCAACACTACTTTGTTATAACTAAATATTATATAACTAATCACAATCTGAATCTCACACACAATCACACATTAATACACTGAATGCAATGCCCTTTACTTTGCTTAAGTCCGGGTCAACACATTTTCATATACAATAATATTGTACAATATATATGATAGGACTGTAATAGACATAATAATAATATTTTTCTAACGATTACAGAACAACTCACAATGAATTGGAAAAAAATAGGTAAGTGTTTATTGTATTTAATTTTATATAATATTTAATAGTAATTATAATAAGAAATAATATTGTAAATAGTCTGCATGTCTCACATTGTTATCATGTAATCCATATGACTGTAACTCAAGCCATACATACTGTATATACAAACACACATTGATAGTAAACACTACATATTTTTATAATAAAACATATACCTAATTGACTCTCCACTCAATCTCATTGATTACTTAATTGAAATTATTTTCTCAATACATTTTCTCGTGTATACATCAGCACTGTTTGAATTAAGTTTTGCAAAAAATACATTAACTATTAATGGCATTGATTGTAGAGGTATTGCATCGCTTTCTTGATTTGACAAAAATAATTAATAACAATATCATACAGTATTACAGTATATTAGTGTTATAGACGTCGATTGTGGTAATAGTTACACACCTTGCAATTATTAAAGGCCATTATATACATGAATTATATGGCATATACGGTAATTATATATATATATATATATATATATACAGTATATATATATAATATAACATTTACTAAATTATTCAAATATATTAATTTCAATCTCTCTTAATATTTGATTATAGCATTTAATGTATTTAACGTTAAATTTGTTTTTAATGTGTTCAATACAACGCATTATATTACTATAAACTTATTGAAACTTGTAGTATAGTGGAAATAAATGATAAATATAAGTCAATGCTAATCTAAAATATAAACAAATATAAGACAGATTAAGCTTATTAAAACCGATTATCATTTATTTTATTTGAAAAATTATTATTAATTAACTTAGGTGCTGTTCACATATTACGTTTGCACTTTAAAAAAATGTAGATCCCTACCTCCCCTATGTTCGCATGTAGTCATTTTTAAAAATTACGTTCACATGTACCTAACCGCTAACCCCCCCCCCCATCACTAAAAAAATAAAATATCTAAATGCGAACGTTCTAAGATCTCTACCCCTTCCATCCCTCCCCTCTTTCGCAAGTTTGCTTTGGCCGACCCCTCCCCAAGTGCGAACGTAATATGTGAATCACCCCTTACCGGTAAATATTTTATTGAATGAAAATTAACATGTATTAACTAAAACAGCATTTTGTCATTATAATAGTAATTAAAAGTAATTAATAGATTAACTATATTTGTAAATATATATAATACAACTATTAGAAAATATACAATACTTTTACAATACAATAATTTTAATAGGTTTAAATTTTTCTAAATGTTATGGTTATGCAATACTTATGCAAATTGTGACATATTTTAAATTGTTGTGTATAAGGTTAACCTTTATTTGTACAACTTTTTGATAAATTACATTGATATACATTTAGAAACGAAAATACCAATTGATTGATTGTTTTGAAATATATTTTTAGTACAGTAGAAGCAAAGTTAGTTAGTTATATGAATCTACATATCATAGTATTAATGTTTTGTTGTATTGTCGACACTGAGACAATTGTAGAACCATTAACTAAAATGATTGAAATAAATATATGATATTAATATAGTCTAATGGTATGGCATGTGTTGGTAACATATGAAGCCAATGGCCACCAAAAAGTTGATATTCCTTTGTTTAGTTCAAGACATATACTTTCACTATTTAAATGTTGTATTGCTTTAAACCAGTATTTCAATACTTGTATAGCATGTATGTGAGCCTCAGTTCTTGTCTTTAATAATATTCACAATATTGCTGTTCTTAACAATCAAAATACTGTATATTAAAATAAATAAAAAAAAGTATTAGTCATTATCTATAATATGATAAATAAATTGTTTGAATAATTGGATCAATAGCTTAATATGATTATTGATGAACATTGAGATCTGGTACTGAATGTATACGTCAGTCGTAACGTTTATACCATCCATGCTATCAATGGCAGGCATGGTATGACTTGAAGACAAAACAAGGAAGAGTTAGCTAAACGCATGTCTCTGTGATACACACCTACAGTACAGTATATTACAATATATTATTAATTGGATAAATTGATTTCAATTTTTAATATTATTCTCATTAGTTTATACATTAGTGTATATTAATTGACTGATATGTTTCAAGTATGAGAGGTGTTTCCGTAACTAAATTAGCAGTAATATTAACAAAATAAATGCAATGATTTAGACACACAAACATTTTTGATAACATTTAGTAGTGAAACAACAAACGTATTCATTTGCAATGATGTTTGCCATCAAATAAATGAATGATATTTTATATCATAAGACACATACAGTAGATATCAATTGTTTAGTTTTATTATTTTTATATCACACAAATAAAACACAAAATATATGGATATATAGTGAAATAGTTTTCAATTACATTGATGTGTTGACTTGAATTGTAAATAGGGTTGAATTATCCATTTATTTAATCATTTGATTGAACTCTAAATTCAATTTAATACCAGATTTTCGACGCATTGCACACTCAAAGAGTTATGTTATTAGTTTAAACTAAAAAAACTGTTTATCATGTGATAAATTTGATCTCAAAAAGTAGTAAACAATATTCAGGGGAAAATAATTCTCATTTTAGTACTGTAGGTGTGACTCACAGGCCGGGTATGTTGAACTCCCACTGTTCCCCACCTAAACCCCCACTAAGTAGTTGAAAGTTGTCAGAGCAGAGTATCTTAAAATGATATTATTCTATATTATATGCATTACACTCTTTCAATGCCACTCTAACCTCCCTTTCCTCAATACTGTTCACATGATTAACACCAACATTACAATGAACTTAGTTTTGAACAATTTATTCACATAACCTCTATATATGATAGAAAACACTATCATCTCATTCCCTCTTATTAATAACTATTTTGTCTTAATATCTAAGATTATTTAAAACATAATTGATATTTAATGAATATATGGCTTGAGTTTGGTTTCATTTTGAATTTATATATATTTTGATGACTAATAATGTATGTATTGTTTGTTATGAAAGACGGGCACATTTACGTAATTGTTTGGAAAAGTTGAAGGTATTTGATAAATGAGTTGATAGTTGAATGTATGGTAATGTTGTTGATGTTTGATATGATGACAGGAAATGGTACCCCTGGGCCCAGAATCCAGTCGCCACACAACTCTTGGTTTGCTTACTAAAGCCAAGTCTTTCATTAGAGTAAGAGAATAATGCTTTAAATCCTATTCATTTCATAGCAATTATATTGCAATTGAAATGTTTTTTTTAATTCATTGAATTTAAAAGTTATGGTAATCATTATAACAACAATAATAATGCTATTTATATGAAATGCCAGAATTTAGAGGAAAAGGATCGCAAACACCAAACAACTAAAGAGCAACTGATGAGAGAGCAGAGGTATCTAAGGAGACGTTTAGATCAGTTACAAGAAATGGATTTCAAAGAATCACTTCACAAAAGAAGAAGTATTAGTGAATGCAGTTCTGGAATGTCCAGCATTTCATCAAACTCTGAGCCCGAAACTAATGAAACCCTCGACTCATACGAAACTACAGAAAGTGGTAAGAATGCAACACTTTGTCTTCAATGCCATCTCTTTGTCGGCCACTGTCCCCGACATGTGAGAGATATCAATATCTTCTCCGCTTCTCTTATCTGATATTTGATGCAAACTATAGTCAATCAATTACTATCGCATACATTCGGCGCTAATATATCGATATTGTTATTAATACTTATTATAACTATTAATTGATAAATATTTATTTATTACACAATTGATTCATTTTTAAATATTTTGACGCATTGCTTACTGATTGCAAACATTATTTTATTTACTAAATATTATTAGTTATTAAATATTTATTTTATTATCGTTAATTTAAAAATGGTTAATAAAGTTGTTAGTTGTTAAATATAAATGATTGTATATATAAATGTTATGTACATCCGTTGGTTGGCAATGAATGGCATTGTTTTTATTTGCTGGTCATTTAGCGTCAACACTGTGACCATCGGAAACACAACAATGACTTATTGTTTACTAAATAATAACTTAGATTTACATATTGACTATAATTAAGTATATAATAGAGTTATTGTGATGAGACTAAGCTTTTATTATTTTTAGTAAATTTTAGTAATTAGTTGCTTAACTCAAACGGCATAGCATTTGTCAATAAATTGAAACCATAGATAGTAAACACATAAGAGATTTGGAAGAGAGGGCGATGTAGTAGTAATTGATGTGATGTCGGGTTCATCACTAACCACAACCTCATGTTTTTGTTTCTCTATCGCACTGTTAGCTCGACTGTTGCATTCGTTCGCACTCTTTAAGGTGAAGGTCGACCACAACGAGCACAAGGGATGGCCGGTTATAGAGAGGGGCCAAACAAAGAACTTTTCGCTTAATCGTTAAATATATTACTAAACGTCACTTCCAGACCCATGCACTTCGTCCGCGCTTTTAGTGTCACTACTCTTAAAATATAATATATAAATATATATACAAAGAAGCCATATATATAATATATATAAAAAGTTTATACTGTATTGTTTGCTCGTTTGGGCACTCAATTGCTTGTTTTGACTGCACTGCCACTATTAGGCTGTGCTCTAAACCATCAACGTTACTAAAAACAATAACATTTGTTATATAAAAATACAAGTAATTAATAATTGATGGCATCTGTAGACATATACTCAATATAATTAATATATAATTAACAAAAGCACATAAGTTGCCAGTAATTAGTGATAATTTTATCGACTAACTGTCCACTTATGTGTCAATTCATCAAAACAATTATCTGAAAAATATTTTTTGATTCATTATTTGTTTTATCGTTTTTAAATGAGTTTTGTTTTTAATGTAAATTATATATCAAATTAAATCTGATTTATAAGAATTGTTTGCAATCTTATATAGAATATCACATTATTTTTAGTTAATTATATTTATATTTATTTTTGTGCAAAATTTTAAAATTATGTATCATTTACATAACGTAACTGCAAATATATATATATATATATTTCAATAATGACAATATATATTATATTCTGGACACAAATAGACTCGTTTATCTAAACAAATTAGATATAATTTTCATTATATATTTATTAGTTAATTATTAATGAAATGTTAGTCGTCAGAAACGAGTCTCGAATAAATCAATTTTTCACATTTTGTATAATTTTTAAATATTTATATTAATATATTTTAAGCACATTTTCACAAATTCTGGTCATTTTGATCATTAAGTTTTAATGATTTAGTGATTGAATAATAAGAATAAAAATTTTAAGTTATATATATATATAAAAGCTTATTCTCATATAAATGAAACATAATTTTAAAACTACAAACCAAACCATTGATAATATAAATTCATTTGTTGTATTATTAATTTAATGTTTTTAATTTAAAATTTAAAGGTGTTATCTTATAATCAGATTTAATTTGAATATTTTATTGCTTTTTTGGATGCAATCATCCAAATCATGTCCAAAAAAATTTTAATGTTTATATTATTTAACAAGGTGATAATTTATAAAAAAATATATGAATTGTATTGATTTCATCGATTGCTAATACAATTCAACGAGTTTGTCAAATGACAAGTTATTAAATTATATATTTTGGTTATTAAGAGCTTCATATCACGAGTTTTGGTTATTGATAAAAATATATAGTAGTGTAGTATTACTATCAATAAATACACGACTTGTGATTAGACTGACCCACAATTGAAGAATAGATTGTAATATATTATATGCAAAATAATGGGATCAGTCTACTTATGGCCAATGGTCACAACCACTCAGATTAATATCAATAACAATAATATATGTTAGACTAAAATTTTTACCAAAATTATATAAATAACTTGTCAAATTGATATTATTGTAATAAATGCAAAATAAATGTTACTTTTTTATTAATTAAAATAAGTAACAATTTATGTATACATATTGAGGTATTAGTTAAAAGGTTTTATTAGAAGTTAATTAGGAATAATCATTAAAATCATTGTATATCATGTTTATGCATTACTTCTAATGAAAAAATAATGTTAAATAATATAATTATCAAATGTTCAAACATTATAAAATAATTTGTCACATATTAATATATAAATAATTTTGTCTAATTAATTTGTTTGCACAATGATTACAACACAATGATTGTTTATATAATAATAATTGATGTTAACATATGATTGAAATAATTCACTAATAAGATAATATATCAATCGTAAATTTTAGTGCAATGTTATTGTTGACAAAATAATTATAGCCATAAAATTAAATGTTAGGCCTATTGTCAACTAAATCGACAATTTTTGTTATATGATGTTTGAAATAATCGGTGAATTATCGTATAAATGTCTAATTGATATGTTTGGTCAACTGCTTCATCATTCCAAACAATAGAAACTTCTTTGAACCTAATCATACAAATAAACAATTGTTAATTTTTGTAATTATTAATATATAATATAATTGTTTTATTAACACACAAATTATACTAAATGCTAAATCAAAGTTTAATTGAAATGAATTTATTATATCATATATCATAATAATTAAATTCATTTCAACTAGACTTTGATTCAGCATTTTAATAAAAAAAATGCTGTATTAATGTAATATATAGATTAGTTTGAAAAACATTGAAATTGCAATTTCTATAAAATATAAGATCATTGTTTTTTAAAAAATGTCATAAATGAAATGATTGTAAATTAAATACTATAAGAATAATCAAGAAATGGACAAAATTTTGTAATTAATAGTGAAAAGTCAGAGTAACTGATTATAAATCGCACAAAAATATTTTTAATTGAAAGCATTAAAGTGAGTGCTTTTCAGATATTTTATAATTGAGACAAATGTTTATCACATTTGATTTGAATTGTAATAATGTTTTAATACAACAGTATATCAAAGTCTAGTTTACTATTTATATAAAACAAGTCTAACTGACAGACAATTATTGTTAGTTAAACAAAATATGTGAACAATTTTGTAATAATAATGATAATGAAAATACAGACCGAAAATTGGTGTCAACTGATTGTCGGGAATCGCAAACTGTTTGTTCTTTGGGTCCTAAAGTGATCAATACATACATACATACATTTAATATCATTATTATTATATATTATTGTGATTAAGTAACACAAATTTCAATGGACGCACAAAACAACAAACAAATTAATTGAAATCAATTGTCAGCTAACCTGAAGATTGTTGTCTTTAACGTAAGACCAGATCCGTTTGACCACTTCATATCGGGCCATCTCAACAATCACAAAATACATTCATATTATTAAATTAATATATTATTGTTTGTATATATTTAAGTAATTGCGATCCTTATTAATTAATTGATTATAACACTAGTAATTGATTGATTAATAAACTATTGTAGATAATGTTCATAAACTAAAAATTGTTTCAATAATAATTTATGCATACATTTAATGTGTGTTATTGAAAATGTAAAAAAAAAATAAAAATTTAAATATAAAATTCATTGCATTATTTCAATTAATTTCAATGTTAGATATCTATTGATTTGACCGCAATTGACGGTAAGTATTAGATCAATAAAATTATTATTTTAGTTACTAAGACAACATATACTGTATTATAATATAGAGGTTTTAATACATTGAACATCTGTAACAATTGAAGCATTTATTTAAACATTTAACTTATTTTTAGCCATAAGTCATAGTAATCTAATAATTAGATAATCGCACTAATGATTGAATGATTTGAGCAAAAGTTTTGTCACATATTATATACCGAACCTATAAGTCCTTAAAATTGCTTTCATAGTCACTATAATACAGTACAGAACAAGTAGTTAGTAAAGAGTTATTTAATTTTTATTAGTTATTAATTAATCAAATATCTATCGACTTAAAGGAATATTGTATTTCAATTGATTATGTATTCAAATTTGACTTAGAATTGGAATTTAATGTTAAAAATGAAATATCAATGTCTTTGATTTATTATATCTCTTAAGGAAATTAATAAAATTAAAGACATTTAGAAAGTTAGTATTCACAGCATATCATATGTTTATAAATATATTCATTTATATTATAAAAATATACAATAGTTTTATAAAAAGATAATTATTTCATAAAATTTGCACTTTTATTATGACAAATACGTTATATTTATATTTTTCATATACCAGAGACTTATTGATGTATTATTGATGTGATTGATATTTAATTAACTATACAATTATTGATAACAATTTTAAATGTTATTTAAATTTATTATTAAAATGTTTTAGTGATAATTAGGTGATTATCAATAGCTACCATATTGTATATCTAAATATGTCATTAATGGTTCATCCAATTTATTCAATTGTTTAAAAATTTTCAATTAAAACAAAGTGTAAGTCATTTAATTACACGTAAATTAAATTAAGAGTCAATACCTCTTGTTGTCCTAAGAAGTGCGCCAATTCAGTAGATAAGACACACTTCTTAAGGTAACCTTTATTTGTATTTCGTTTTTTCTCAGACTTGTCTTCATCACAATTATCTTTCTTCTCTTTCTTCTTCACTGTCTTTCTCTTTTTCTGTGGTTTAAGACTATTTCTGGTGACTCTTCGGGTTGAAGTCATTTCTTCTTCGTTTAGTTTTCGTGCAAATTCTTCGTCATTCTTTGTTATGTTCTTCTTGTCTTTTTTATTGATATCGTCTTCAATATCACTATCACTACTACTATCACTCTTTTCATTAGTTTTAGTGTCCACTACATTGTCCTTCAATTTCCTATTATTAATATTATCACTGATTTTGTCTTTACTTTTCTTGTGATTTTTTTGACTTAAATTATAAATAACATCATTAATGATATCATTAATTTGTTTCTTATAAGAGTCGATGTCATCTATTTTAAGTCGATTCTTGAGCTCATTCCTCACCAGTTTGCTGGTCATCACATTAAGATCAGCTGACTCTAAGATATCTGTGGATAAATCAATTAATCAGTTGATTATAATCAACAAGTTTTTAGTGAAAATGTGTGACAAAACAAACCTTTAATAGTATTTGTGAGCACTTCTTGAGATACTCGAGCCATAGTTGCATCCAATGAAATCAGTGATCAATTAAGTGACTAATCTATGGCTAAAACAATGCAAACAACGAGTAAATGATTGGATTAACAAATGAGTCGATTGTCTCTCCATTTAATACATTCATTGGACAGTCGTTTGGTGTCTCTGTTGTCAACATTATGTTTGTTGTCATTGAATTGAATACACTGTCAGTGACTGTCAGTTACTGTCAGCTGATGTATGCATTCATTTGATTATATTATTGACTATATATTCAATCATATCATAGGCTTATCAAGTGATGTAGTCTTCAATCACTTCAATCACTTCAACCATTTAATCGTAAAACCAATTGTTTGAAAGTAAGTCAATAGTTATATATATTTCTTAATATATAAATTGATTTCAATTGATTTCATCTAATAAATAGTAAACTCTTGTAAATTACAATTACGTTAAATTATTTCATATCTTGTAATACATTGTTATAATGCTAATGATATTACAAACTCAATCAATTAACATAATATTACCAAAAAGATGATAATAATATCACTTTAATTAAAAAATATAATAACTTTATTGATTAAATTTGTTGATTTATATTTTATTAAATCAACAAATTTTTTAACATAATATTTCAGTCATAAAATATTTAGTAATTTATTCAAATAGATTATATCATATATATAGATATATATTCATAGGCTATATCTATCTACAAGTATTATATATAATGAAATTAATAAATATAATTTATAACAATATTTTTATAAATTGTGAAATTTTATTATTAAATTGATAAATATTTGATAATTAATTAAATGAAATTTAACAATACACATTTATAAGTTATTTAGTTTATCACCAATTATTAATAATAATAATGTTAATCATTTTCACAATTAATATAACATATATTATTTAAACAGTATTTATAGATATTTAAAATTTTATTGAATATAATAACTATTAAATATTAATTTATATATAATATTATTAAACAAACTTATTTGTACATTATTTAACACATAGATTATTAATATCGTTTTAATAATTTTATTTTATAATTATTATTGAATTGCATTGCATTTAATTGTGTCGTTTTATATGATATTTAATGAGTATTTTCCAAAGATTTCAATAATAATTATTAATATTAGATAAAAATTGATGTTTTAATAATAATTAACACAATAATTGTTAGTAATGTTTAGATAGGTATCAATAATTTAAGTATCAGTTTGTTGTTCAATAATGTCTTCATTGACACTCTGAAGCCAATTAAATATCATTATATTTCGATCATATTTTGAAAGTGGTTTTCCTTTTTGTCTTTCAATGTCTTTGACGGTTAAGCTGATGGACCCATCAGGTGATCGGAAGCATAGATTCATTAAATCAAACGATTTGTAAATAGTTTTATGAGAAGAGTTATCACTTGATAATTGAAGGTTTGGTGTTTTGGTTTTATTGAGAGATAATTTGTTTTTTTCTATTGATTCCATATCTTTGGTATTATTAATGGCATCACAAGTAGTTGCTTGCGATGACCACTCATTGACATTGATTTGGCAACTATTATACAGTCGACCAATAGCTCTGAGTCTTCGTCTTAAATACATTTGTCTGACTTTCTTATTGACTGATTTGATGAATTCAACGCTTGAAATGGTTGGCGATTCTAATTGTTTGGCTGACTGTGCCTGAGGTGAGGGTAGTTGTGATGTGGAAAGAACTGGATCTCCGAGATTAACCCACGTTGAACACGAACGGGAAGTATAGTCTAGTCTTCGAAGGTTTGGTAGTTCCAGACGACTTATACCACCAAACAGTAGCACTTCCGACGAACTCTGGCGAATGGCTCCACTCATTGCACCCGAGGTCTCGTTCAGACCACAAATATCTGACGTCGAAAAACTCTTCATTAAACCTAAAACAGCGGACGACATCTCACAACAACTTTTGATGACATCAGACTCTTCTTCAAATAAAATCTCATTGAATTTGATTCCCGAAGAACTTCTTCGATTGATTCCCGAACCATACCGTTCTGATGGTATCTGAAGCAGTGTAGCACTTCCCGATCGGGTCGACCTCACTGTTGGTTTTGAATCCATTTGTGGTCACTATTATATAAAATAAATTATTTTTTAATTTATTCAATGTTGATATTAGATAAAAACTTATAATTTATTTAGCAATTCATAAGACATTAATAACTCTTACAATTGCTATGAGTTGTCTCCAAAACTTTTTAAGCCGACAGATATACACACCGTTACAAATGTTACACATATTCCTTATTATAGTAACACTAATATTGTGATTATAATTGTAAATTAATTTTATGATTTTACTGATTAATTATTAAATATACTGTACTAAGTACTGTGTATCATTGGAAATTATTTTTTTATAATGAATTATATTATTTATATAAAATATTGCATATCCCGTAATATTTTAATTTCTCTAAAAATATCAAATATAAAAAAATTGAGTTTTTTCTAATCTGCTAATCTGACACTTGTATTGATTATGAAAATATTTGCCCGCTTTTGGTGACAACATAATCAATTATAAGTATTATTTTAAAAATTTATAATTTAATTTATAACAAATGATATAACCTTTTGAAAAATATAGATTAAAGTTTGATGAATATTCCATATATTTAATATTTAAAAACTTATAATGAATAGTTTATTACATATAATTTATTATATAAAAATAAATTCAATTTTATATTAATTTTCAGTGACACTTGAATTGCTTAAGTATATTTTTTGAATTTTACAACAATATTTTATAAGTAATGTAAATATAATTTTAGTATAAAATACATATTATTTAATTTATCAAAATATAATTATTCAAGACATTAATGATTTAAAATTGAAGTTATAGATAATAATTTATTAAATTTTGTACATTAAATTATATTATTTTAGTATTGAATCTTATATAGATGTAAATTGTGTATATGTTATTATTAACTTATTATTGTACATTGTATATCATATAAAATTTAATAGTCAATTAAATTATTTATTTAAAATATAAAAATCCTAATTATATTATAATATAAATATAATATAATACTATAGATCGTTTAAAAAGTTATTGTTGTGTAAAAAGGTGTAAAAATATTTCTAAATATCTATCTAATGGCTAAAATCTATTATTATTATTTAATATTTTTAAAATAAATATTAAAAATAATTATTTAATAAAATTATTGCTATAAATTGTGAGTAAAATATTGATTTTTTGTAGTACAATATAAAACTAGTGTACCGTAATATTTATAAAATATAAATATAAGAAATAATATTGCTTTTATATAAGTAATCAATTAAATTGTTTGACATTTAATGCTATAATATTTATTAAATGATAATTATAAGAATTATATATATATATACTATATATGATATATTGATGAAAGACTCACCTCTAAGATGATCCACTTATTGTAATAATAATAGTAGTATTCATATAGAAATATATATCATATTATAAGTACAATGGCTTCAAAATTGTTTTTACTTTGCAATAACAATAAATATTCTTAATAATAATAATAATAATAATAATAATATTTTATACAACTATAAAAATAATAGTTTTTTTTTATTTACTGTTATATTAAAGACAAAATTATATATATAATTTAGTAATTAATGTATAATTTTGTTCACAAAATTTAAAATTTAATTATTACTAATATTATTTCTGTTTATTACAATTATATATTAGTATTATCACATGTAATATTTATATAGAAATATTATAAATAAATAATAATTATTATTTGATTGTTATTTTGGAGTTGATTTTATGGTCAAAATGTAATTTATTATTAATTGTCTTTTGTCAGTGATTGACAATCTTTGAAAAGCATTGTAATGTATTTGAATGTAATGTTTAGTTTGAATCTAATAAATACACTGATTTGTGACAATTGAGGCAAAACTGCGGTCGCATTCACTCTAAAGGATTTGCTGTCAAAGACATTGATCGGCGAAGAAGAGACACAAGAGTAAGAGCCAACTCAACATCACATATGACCACATCATCTCATGCGCACAGTTATCATATAATACCATACAATACTCTACTATACCATAAAATATTAGTCCATACCTACCATTCCATACCTATATAATGATTGAGTATTACTTTAACTCAATTAAATACAAAATATTAGTTTTAACTATATTATGAATTTATTTATACAATTATATAAATTAATAAATAAAAAATATTTAACAGTAATTTAGAAATACAAATAATTTGTTTAAATTTCATACAATATTTACGTTAAATCAAAGATAATATTAAAAGTTAAACAGTACATTAAATATCAAATATAAGTTACAATTTTTACAATTAATTATAATTATATTTCAAGTCACTCTTAATTTTTTAAGTTAATATTATTAATATATTAATATAATGTGCATTTTTAACTGAATAAAAAAATTAAATTTTGTTAACTTAAATATAGGATATCTTGAAATGAAGTTTAAAAAATGAGATCAATATACAGTAAAAATAATAATACTGTGATTATACAGTAATTATTAATAATAATTTATTACGATTATTATAGTTGACGCTAAAAATTGATTGTAAGTTACGAGCAAATTGTTGTTTACCTTGAAATTATCTGTTAACTTGACTTCAATGCAATCACTAATTTAACATCTAATGGATGTTTTATAATGAATATTATCAATCAATATTGTACTTTGTATAACAAAAATGATTTTCATTAAAAATTTATGTCATTCATACTTTTACTTTGATTTATTTTTTCTAATATTTAATCAATTTTTTTCATGAGATTATTTTTCTAATAAATATACTGTATTATAATTTAAGTATTCATAAAACTATATATGTCATTTGGTATTTTATATAATTAATTTACAACAATTGAACATTAATAAAAAATAATAATTTTTTTATTATATGATTATTTAATTATATTTCTGTGAATTTTGTAAATAGATTAACCAATAGTTTGAATGAATGGTTTTATAGGTAATACATCTAAGTTCGTGAGTTATTGATAACAAATGATACAAATAATAAACAATTGGATTAATTTTATTTAAATTGATATTAATTTGTTATCTTATTATATATTTATAAAAAGTAATATTATATAATTCTTTATAAACACTAACATAATTATCACATAAACTATTGTTTCACTAAGAAAATAATTATCCAGTTAATTTACTATTACAAAAACAATATAATATATATTATTCTATATTAAATATACTGTACAATAGATCATAGATTGAAAATATTTCATTAATAGTTATTATTAGTGTATTGATTAATAATTTTTTATACTCTATTAAATAGTTGTTATAATAGTTGCTAAAAAACGTCAAATAGTTGTTAAAATAGTTATTTAAACTGTATTAAATAGTAGTATATAGTTGCCAAAAAAGCCAAATAATTATTGAAATAATTATTTATTTTCTTATAAATATTTCAACTGATATATAATTCACTTGTTTTCAGCATATTTACAAAAATGATTTATATAAATAAACTAATTATTTTTATTGTTAAAAAAGTAATATGAGTTGATAACAGTTTACACATTTTATATAATTTATATAACTATTACTTTTTGTTTTTACATATATTTGTGCAATATTTTACAATTTTATGCTTATATTTTTCAAAATAAGTGAAATAGTTATTTATAAGTTTTTATAGTTGCTAACCTAACAAATAGTTATTTATAGTTATAATAAAATTTCGGAAATAGCGTCCACTGGTCAAGTTAGGTGGACATACTAAGTCCCAGTTATAAGCGTTAAACCGACAAAATAATTTTTTTAGTTGGAAATCAAGACACTAGTTATTATAAAATTGCTAAAAATACATTTTTTAAATCACTAAAATAAAAAATTAATTTAATTAGTATGAGTCAATAATTATTTAGTGACAATAATCACAGCTATTAGTATCATTATTTAAATTAAATTTATTTTATAATTTTCAGTTGAAAACAATACATTTCATTAGTCATTATTAGAAATGGGTTAATAGAAAGTTTCTAATAAATTTCCGTGAGAAAGTTTCTAGAAAATTTCCCATGAATAAATTTCTATAGAAATTTAACTTTATTGTTATACTATGGGATCCCCATATCTATATTTATTGGAAATACTATAAATATATTAATGAGACATAATATTGTACAAATGGGATACCTATATAAATAATTATAATTATCCAATAATAATCAGTTTTGTAAAATTTTATTTTATGTATCATAGTTTAATATAATTAAATAAATTATTTTTTTACTTTAATTAATAATTAAAATACTAATACTAATACTAATATTTAAATATTACTTATAAAAACAATGTTAAAGATAGCAAATATCGAGAAAACAAAATTAACCATGGGGATTCCATAAATAGAAATTTCTCTATTATTTTATAAATTTCTCTTTTTTGCCAACACTAGTCATTATTGAGTTTTATTTACAATATAATATAATAATATATATTAACAGTATATGTATTATTTATATAATACAATAATACACTGTTAGCTAATTTCTAGAGTTTATCACTATTTTAGTTTCTGTATGTTTAGACAACAATGTTATAAAAAATGTTTTACCAGTTTGTCAATCATATCTAAATATACCTTTAGTTAATACAATAGTTTTGTAGTTCTAAGTAATAATCAAATAATAACCTCAATATTTGAAACAAAAATGTTGCTAAACATGAATTCCTTGTCTACATTGATATGTTTAAGTTATTTAACTAAAGGTTAGATAATTTAGTTTTGATAAATATTTGCTGCTGGTATTACTGTATATGTATATAAAGTATAAATAACATATTTAATACAATATATTCATATTAATATATTTTATGTTATTTACTTTTAATTTTTCTATTAATTACAATTTTAGCAAATATTATATATGAATAAGTTTTCTATGACTTTTTGTTTGACAATTTACTAAAATTGAATTTTAAAGCTAAATATCGTATTTAAATACATCCGATCAAAGATGAATGAGAACTTTAATCAATTATTATCTAAAAATGCAAGAAATATTGACAAATTCATTGCTTACGGAACGGCAGGTTTTCGTGATAAGTATGCCATACAATAGATATTAATTAATATTTAATTATAATATTTAATATAAATAATTTATTATTAACAGAGCTATTGAATTACAACATATTATGTTTCGAATGGGAATATTAGCTACACTTAGAGCACGAGTAGTTAAAGGTATGACCATTTGTTAACCATTAAATTAATATACAATCACACTATACTTATTAATATAAATATATTACTTATTAATTTTATAATTTTTAGCAACAATTGGTGTTATGATAACTGCATCGCATAATCCTGAAGAAGACAATGGCTTGAAATTAATTGATCCAAAGGGGGAAATGTTAGACCCATCCTGGGAGTCGATCTGCACTTATTTGGCAAATATTAAGTATTTTATTATATTATTAAATTGTAATAAATATCAAGTAATAGAAAAATTATAGTCATATAATATTTAATAGTTATTATTTGATATTTTTAATATAACAAGTATTTTATACAATTTAAAATGTATTTTCAAATAAAAATATTTGTTTGTATTTTAGTGACAAAGAATTATTGGATTCAATTAATAAGTTAATTGAAGATAAAAGTATAGATATGTCAGTAGTGGCCCATGTTTTGATCGGAAGAGATACCCGTTCTAGTAGTGAAAGGTTACACAAAGCAGTCATCGATGGCATACAAGCAGGTGATGGCAGAGTCAATGATTTTGGTTTGGTTACGACACCACAAGTCCATTACGCGGTGTTGTGTTTTAACACTAATGAAGAATATGGTGAACCCACAGAAGTTGGATATTATAAAAAGTTGTCCAACGCTTTCATTAAATTGAACGGAGAAAATGGGTCACAAATTGTGGCCAATAATTACATTCCATCGGTAGTTATTGACGGCGCCAATGGTATCGGTGCCATCAAAATAAAACAAATGAAACAATTTTTAGGCAATTCATTAAATATAGAAGTTATTAACGATGGAAATGGTGTACTGAACGCCTTCTGTGGAGCAGACTTTGTCAAAGTTCAACAAAGAGCTCCAAAAGATTTGCAACTTGAGGTCGGAAAGAGGTATTTAGCATTTGATGGCGACGCCGACAGAATCATCTATTTTTATAAGAATCAAATCGATGGTTACTTTCATATGTTAGACGGCGACAAAATAGCAGTTTTAATTGCTTCTTATCTAAAAGATTTATTATCTTCCGTTCAAATATCAGACATCGATTTATGCATCGTTCAGACGGCTTATGCCAACGGAAGTTCAACTAATTATATTGAAAACATACTTAAGTTACCCGTCCATTGTGTGCCAACAGGTGTCAAACATCTCCATCACAGAGCATTACAGGCAGATATTGGTGTATACTTTGAGGCCAATGGTCACGGAACTGTCACTTTCTCTAATAAAACTGTTAATCGCATCAAACTTTGTTCACACGAGACATCTCTAAAACTCTTAAATTTTATCGATTTAGTTAATCAGGTATTATAGATACCGAATATTAAGGTTATTATTATTTTTATTTATCATTAATAAAATAATGTCTTATTTTCAAAGACTGTCGGCGATGCCATCAGTGATATGTTAGTTATTGAATCCATTTTGCGAAGTAAAGGACAATCGATACAAGATTGGGATATGTTGTACACTGATTTGCCGAATCGTAATATTAAAGTCACTGTCAAAGATAGAAATGTCATCACCACTGGTGATGCCGAACGCAAAGTGTTGACACCAATTGGATTACAAGACAAAATCGATGCCATTGTAGCTAAATATGGTCCAAATTCGCGATCATTTGTGAGACCATCCGGTACTGAAGATGCCGTCCGAATATATGCTGAATCGACAACTCAAGACAACACCGATTCTTTGGCTAAAGAAGTGGCAAAAGTTGTTTATGATATGGCTTATGGTGTCGGAGGTCTTTGATTTTATATTAAATGCGTTGAAACAACTATACTATAAATTATTTTAAATTTTATTATAAAAGTTTATATATATATATTTGTATTATTATTATTATTATAAATTTAATATAAGATAATTTGTTAATTTAAAATCTATATATTTACCAATAATTAAAACTTTTATATCATTGATATATTTACAATAAAATTACTTTTAAATCAATTATTTTGAAAATTAACAGAATATCCGCCGGTTTCAGCATTTTGTGTGAGTTTGAAGTTATCAGTAGACATACCAAAGGGCCGAAGCACCAGATTTCCCAAGTCTTTCAATTTAGACATCATTTCTGTCTTCAATTTCTCATTTCTTTCATTGATTTCTTTCTGCAATTCATTGATGGCAACCATTGCTTCGGTACACTTTGGGTTCAATTCAAATACTCTTTGGTAATCTTTCAGCGAATCATCCAATTTGTCACTCATTTGTCTATATATCTGAGCTCTTCTTAACAATGGTTTGATGTAATTGTTGTTCAAATCAATAGCAGCGGTGCAGTCATCGAGTGCTTCCTGGCGTCGGTCGCAATGTAAGAGAGCGGCCGATCGGTTGCTATACATAACGGACCGATCGGTGACAAAGACGAGGGGACACATATCGAGGGCTTCGGTATATAAACCAATACTTTTGTCGAATATTTCTTTCTTAAAGTTGTCGTTTCCCTCATTCTTCAGTTCAATTGCTTTGACTTTCAATTGCATCAATTCTTCACTTGTGTGTTCTTCTATGTCTTCATCCATATCTGTGTCCACTTTCGGTGTTTTGTTATCATCGACACAATGACTATCATTCATACCATTCATTATTATAAACTCAGTTCACTTCAAGTGTTAACAAAAAAAGTCAAACATTTAAGACATAAACAAATGACAAAACATTACTAACATTGCAATCGATGTCTACAGATGTCTACAGATGTCACTTGAGATGCATTTCTGACCAAATGTCAGACAAAATAAATATATTAATTGTTTTATATTTATTAAAAGTTTTCAATTTTGTAAGTATTTTAACAAAAAGTTTAATTTAATTTACAAAACTTTAATACAACTTAAATTTATATGATATACATATACTGTACTATTATRTTATTATATAGTCTATCATATATAGTATACTTTATTATTATTATTATCACATTATTCACATAATTTTTAATTAATATTAAATTTACAATAAATTAGTCAATACTTTTATTTTGTTTAGTTTTTTACAAAAATTATAAATTACTATAAAATCATTATTAGATTATGAGATTATAGTCTTAGATGGGTTCCTATTATACATTATAATTGTGTATTATATTATGTATTATAATTTATAATTGATTCAAATCATTATATTTAGGCACTATTTTAATTTGTTTTCAGCGAAACATTTTTATTTTGTATAATACATTAAATATTGTATAATAAATAAATATATATATTAGAGGGGGGGAACCGAAGAATTTTTAGGAACCGGAACCGAACCGTAACTAAAACTTAGGAACCGAATGAAACCGGAACCGAACCGTAATCTTACATAAATTACGTTAATAATATTAAGGGGGTAAAAAGTGGGCTTAAAATTTAAAAAATAGATTTTCATATTTTTATTTATTGTTATAAAATACGGTTAGAATTATTATAATTACTATAACATATAAGCTTATAAATATAATTTTATAACTATTAATAGATTAATAATTGATTAAAAATAGAAAAATTTTAGTTAATAAATAATTAAAAGTAATAATAATTAAAAGTAATAATTAAAAGTTATAAATAATTAGTTTTAAATGCTATATGTTATATTATTATAAAGCAATAATAGTTAAATAAAAATATTTAAGTATATTAACAAAAGTATTTCTAAAGATAATTTTATTTGTGCTATTAATTTAAACTCAAATCGGTTTTTAATTAAAACCGTTTTAAAACCGAAAGCTAAAAACAAGAACCGCAACCAAACCGGACCTGAAAACAGGAACCGGAACCGAAACACAAAAACCAAAACCGTGATAAAACCGTTTCGGTTCCGGTTTCATTCGGTTTTATGAAACCGAACCGTTTCGGTTCCTCCCTCTAATATATATATATATATATATATATATATATATATATATGATTAGAGTTCGATCAATACAAGGGATGGAAGTTCCCTAATGAAATCCCTCCAATTTTTCAGAAAAATAGGGAAAATATTTATTTTCTTTCCCTAGATGTTAGAAATGAAAATATATTTTATATTTCTACACTAAATAATATCAACGCTTATTTTTTTGCATAAAATTTCATTGAAATATTTAAAAATAAATTTGAATTCAATAAATTTAGTGATACTAATTAACAATAGCACTCAAAATACAGTTTAATACAACATTTGTTGTTTATATTAAAATAGGTGGCAAAAGGAAAATAGGAAACTTTAGGAAAATAAAACGAGGGAGGTAATTTTACCGAACCATATATACTGGTACTCGCAATTGAAAGAGACGCATTTTATATATAATAAAGTAACTTTGTTTTTGTGTGACCCATGTGTTATCTACAAATTGTATTTTTTTACAATTAAGTACAATCATCATTAGTCTATAATTGTCTTATTCAAGATTTTTGATAAATCTTTTTATTAATCTTTTACATGGGTTAAAGTACATGACGTTTATGCCATAAAAAACATATATTGTCCTGTAATTATAGAAACAATTAACAAAAATATTAATAGAATATATTCTAAAGCCTTATGTGTGAAGTCTTGTCAGACATAATAAAAAAACTAAAAAGATGAATGAGTAGATGTGGAAGACAAAAAAAGTTCATAAAAAATATCAAAAGTTAAAATCGAAAAATTGTATGAATTTATAAAAATATTTCACAAGTTTTCTTGAAAATAAATAAAAGAGATATTATATTATTTATTAAATACTAAATAACATTTGCCAACAATTTTCGAAAGATATGTATAATATCTCTAAGTACTATCTACTTTTACTTCTTATCTATGGGCTACATATGCAAAAATATAGCAATTATTATTTTAATATCAAATAATAACGGATTTATAAAATGAAATTAAACCTTTTATATATCATTATATTCAACATATATTGCTTTGTCAAATTACTATTTGCTTTGATTAATCTAACACTTCTTTGAGTGTAAAAAATCAAAATTTGTGAAGGGGTCCAAAATGGTAATCGAAGGGGTTTTCGATTTAAAATCATAAGAAGTGGTTTACTTAAGATATTCAAAATTATCATAACAAATGAAGAGATATTATAGAATCAAATGACATATAAATAATTAATTAAACTTCAATAACTTTTTAAAAAAATTAATTTAAAAATGTAGTTATGAATGCGTCTCTTATAATTGCGATCCCTAGTATAAAGTATATGATATACACAGTATTACAGTATACATATAATATAGTTTTTGCTAAACGTTAACAAAAACAAAAGATTATAAACTTTGAAAAATTTTCTCAATTAAAAAATGTTTGACAATGAGATTAATCTATTACTTGTTTAAGTAATACTTAAATCAAATATTAAGTAATTAAAAAAATGAACATAACTTTAAATACTTTGAAACAAATAAGAAAACAGTGAATAACTAAATCATAAAACATTAAAAGCACAGAAAACTTATATAAATTCAAAGGTTATATAAAATAAATAGTGTTTTATTTATTGTTTTTAATCGTGATTTATGTTAAGTCAAACATACGGTAAATTAAGGCAACGAAATGATAGCGAAAAATAAGTTTCGGTTAAACGATATATTAGTTTGTATAGAGAAATGAGTGTAAAATAAAAAACATTGTATTAATTCAATATATATTTGTATGGTTTTTGGTGAGTGTGTTGACTGTATTGCCTAAAGCGTGAATCGGCGGTAATATCTATAGTAATAGCCTATAGTAGTGATGCCTCACTAATTCAGGTCACTGTCCATTAATCAAAACATATTTTACTTAATATGAAAACACTTGTTTGCAAAATACAGTCAAATATAATGAAAATAAATAAGTTTTAGACTTCTCACGAATAGCACAAACAACTATTGAATTTGTATTTAAAAAATAGTAAATGAAATGAATGTCCATTTATGATAATACAGACACCTATTAACACAACTGGTTTTGTAAACTATAATATTGTCAAAAATTAATTACTTTTTTCAACCAAAATATACAAACTTTGTTTTACTCTAATTGTTTTATTTTTCAAAAAGACCAATAATTTCGCTTAAGTCTACAATTTTAACAATTATTGAATTAATTTATATATGAACTCTAAATAGAAATAAACTATTTATTATTGATATTATATACAATTTAATACATTATATCCGGCGAAATAACTATTTTTATTAATGGTTTTATTGAAAGTTTTAGATAAATATAGTAAATATAATTGAATAAACTCATGAATTTTACATCTATACCTATTTATATTTATTTTCTACTATTATATAGTTTTTACTACAGTATTATTTTTAAATATAAATTGATTTTTAACTGAACTTTTTTTGAGTTAACAAAACAAATTGATTGTAAATTCACTTAAAATTAGTTTTTTAATCTAATGGTTTCTTATAGCATAAAATGTTAAAAAGCAATTAAAATTTAATAAAAATCAATTTAAACTTTATCTTTTTGTTATTTTTTGTAATTTTTTTCATTTAAAGTGAGAATAAAACCAGAAAATTAATTAAATATTTAAATTAGAAATCAAGTGTCATATTTATATACAAAATATTGTATATATATTCGATATATATATATATATATATATAATGATTAAATATTTTATTGTTGTTTAGATTTACAAATATCATAATATTTGGTTTAATCGCATTTTATATACATTTATGTTATATTATCAATATTATTAATCAAAATAAGTGAATTTGAGTTTAAGTGCCCACCAATAATGTTTGTCTAATCGTTATTAATCACAATTTTAAGCATATTTTATAAAAAATACCAAACATTTCGACAAAATATGAAACATAAATTAAAACATTAAAAAAAGAAAAGTTATTAGTATTTGTAATATAAAGATATATACAATAAATAGTATTACTATTTGTGGTGAAGATAACAGAGAAATAAGATGAGAGATGTCTAGAAGTGATAACCAAACTACTAATCATTGAAAAAGATTGAAAATACAACAAAATATTCATTTTTCTAATAAATTGGATATAATATCACAGTAATCATACAAAATGTATATTCATCCAAATATTTAAAAAGCTTTAAAAAACGTTAAATTTTAAAACTATTGAAGAGAGAGAGAGAGAGAGAGAGAGAGAGAGAGAGAGAGAGAGAGAGAGAGAGAGAGAGAGAGTTAAAGAGCATTAAAGGTATATTTCAGATATTCAATAGATTTTCAATCATTGAAGCGAAAAATTATTAAATTGAAAGGATATACGGACTAATGTTTTGCACATTTTGTAAATTTATGCTCTCTCTCTCTCTCACTCACTCTCTCTCTCAAAATGAATTCAAAGAGTTAATTACGCGAAAACTAAATGTTTTGAGACGACATGCCTTATCATTAAACCAATACTTATGTTAAATATTTTATATACAATTAAAATAATGTTTACTATATTTTAGTCAATTATCTCTATCTATAGTTCTTAAACGTCTCTGAGATGTTGATGAGATATACCAACTATGATATGATATACTATTATATACTATGATATACTGCCATTCAATCTATTTTTTTTTTTTTTTTTGATAAAAAGACATTTTAAAAGAATTATTTCAAATGAATTATTACTAAATTGTGATTTTATTGCATTCAATCATTAATTAAATTTTTGAATTTTTTGTCGAATAATTTTATTAGTTATTGACCTCAAACTTTAAAAAGTAAACTTAAAAATAATATAAAAAATGAGTTCA